TTAGTGAGGCTTTAAACTTGGGAAAGTGGCTTTTTAACCTAGTCAAGTCGAATCATGTAATTATTCACTAGTTTAATTTTTCTGGCAAATAATTTATCAATTTAATGCGAAAAGACGTGCATTTTGGCAATGTGCTTCAAGTTGCGTATCAATCCAACGTGTGACTTATGCAAAAAGCTAGTGTGCGCCTGCTGCCACCCATCATGCATGCAAGACGTAATGGGGGAGTGCATGACTTGAACGTGCATAGGAGTGATGTGTGTCTTATAGAGTGCAACATGTGACAAGCGCACATTAATTTTTGCATAAGTCAGATTTAAAATTGATATGCAACTTGAACGCATACTGCTTGAATACATGTCTTTTCATATTAGATTCATAAATTATTTGAAAAATTTAAACCATTAAATAATTACACATTTTGCTTTACATGCATAAAAAACCCTTCAAATTAACTACATTACATTACTTTACTTTTTTTGGAACAGTAACCATTGTACCACAAATTTTCCAATTATTTATCAACCTGCCACGCGAATAGTAAAATTTGCCAAGCTGCCACATGAGCAAGTTTGCTACAGCAGGCAACGAACTATGTTTGCTGATGTGGCTTCGTTTTGGTGGCCACCTAGCTCGCTACTGGTAATAGCAAACTAAGTGACAATTAATTCCCCCTCTACTCTGACCAGTTGGCAGGACACGTGGATAACTTTGTTGCATGGGCCAACGAACTAAGTTCGTTGGGAGGGACAGCAAACTAGCTGCTGATAGCTACAAATCACTATATATAATAGCGAACTCAGTGCTATTTATACCCACCAACGATCTACGAACACATTTGTAAAGTTTGATCTTTTTTTAAGGAACCATCGGTATCTTCTTATTCTTCTTCTTTCTTCTATTTTTTATTTGATATTTGACATAATGAGTGAGAGTATCAATGATTTAATCGCCATTATATATTATAATGAGAGGAGATATCTTGGACCAAACAGTCAAGTATTTGAAGGAGATACAAAAATATTCTGCATGAGCCCCCGATGCAATTATAATAACCTGAAGAAAATAATATACAAGAAGTTGAGATTACAAAGGGGTTAATCCCTCTCTCGATTGATTGCTAGATGCGCCTCGGGTAACCTTGTGTAGTGGGTTGCTGTGGAGGTTGTAGAGGATGAAGATGTAGAGTTAGTAGTAGACGCATTTCGATAGCATGGAGAGTCCTCATTCATCAAATTGTATGTGGAAATAAACACAGGTGGACAGTCAAGCACTCAACATTTCCTCCATTGCAGTTACTCAATCGAAATTAACAGGGACCCGCTAGTCAATCTAGAAGATAGGTATGTGTCACCCCCACCACCATTACCCCACCGATGTCTTAAGATGTGATTCCTGCCCATGACATGTATAATCCCGTGCGGCATACAAATAGTTCCGAGGAAAAGGTGGACGAAGGTCTTGTTCCAGACAGTGACTCATCGGATACAGACGTTGATGGTGATTTTGAGAAGGGACTGTCTGGTGCATTGTGGCATCCGATTCCTTCACCGAGCTTTGGCAGAATGCATAACCCACTAGTGGCATGTTAGTTACTTTAATGGGGTGTTAGTTTATTTGATATAAAATTATTAATGACACGCATATGGGATTATATAGGGGAGGATACTGTACCATTTTGGTCTTAGATAAGCCATTATACGAATATTAACTGGGCACACCCAGATCAGGAGTGTGAAACTGGAAGATGGGTCAAGAGTTGTATAAGGACTAGGTGTTTGATAGCAAGCAGGATGTACAGTAACTGCTTCATATATCGCCTCTGGGTCAGTCACTTCATGGAGACCAAGATAGATCGTCGAGAATCGCGTCCATACCCACAATTGTAATAAGAGAGCTTACCCTCCCATATCGGATCATCGCCGATCTGTCACCTTGCACAACTCCTTGTACAAGGTTGCAAGTACAACCGAAACCTAATTGAAAGTACCTGTTCGTTAAAAATCTTCAAGAAATAATAAATATCGGGCATTGATGAAGTTGGATGTGGTCTCGACAAGCAACACCCCCCCAAGATGGGCATGATCAATGTTCACGTGTATCTCAATCGGCCCACAATGGTGCCAGTGTGCTGCACATAACAGATCAGTAATCAGCTAACGAAATGGATAGCCTCCAACGCGCCTATAGATAACCTCACCATTCGTGGGCAAACCCAACAGATGGTATACATCCTCGAGGGTGATGGTAACCTCACCCATCAACATGTGGAATGTACGTGTCTCCGGGAGCTATCTCTCAACAAGCGCAAATATAAGTGCATGGTCAATTTGGTTCCAAAACAATATAATATGAGCAAAATTTTACAATCACGACACTATAGTAACAAACACAATATGTCTGATACTAGAATAGTATACTAACCTCAAGGTTGCGCAGCCGCACAACGCGATAGGATCCAGCCTGCCTCATATACGGCTGGATGTCCTTTGGTATATCATCTTGATCGTATGTGGCAGCATGTCTAACATTTACCACACGATCCTGGACATTGGGAGTCCTCTGACGTATTCCAGACATACGTCGAAATGTGTTTCTCTTGTAATGTCAGGAGAGAATGGTCAAAGGGTCCTGGGTCGATCATACTCTGCGAAGAAGCAGGACGTGCGGGATCATCATGCTCCATGGATCTATTTCAAGCAAAAATTATACTATATTAATATTTTGATTTATAATTAAAAATATTGAGAGTAAAAATAATAAACATAATTTAAAATTTAAAATTTAAAATTTTCAAATTTATATAATTCACCAACTATCATACAATAACAATATATACACATGGTCTCAATCCTACGGGAACATAAAACAACAACAATAATATCTCCTCTAACCTAAGGTTTCAAGACCTAAAATCATAATTATTAAAATAAAAAATCTAACACAATTCAAAATTTTAATTTTAACATAAAAAATAATTCACGACACTAATATAATAACATTAATACACTAACAATTTCACATGGGCTCTATCCTATATTTTAAATAAAATATATATTTGTCTTCTAAGGTTTCAAGTCCTAAGATAATTAATATTAAAAAAAATAAATAACACATGATAAAAATTCCATTGTAAATTTAATTATGAAATATAAAATACTACATCAATTATCCTCTGTACAAAGGAAAATAATAACATTAATATACATGACTTATATCATATGGTTTGAATAAAAAATAACATGTCTTGTGACATAAGATTTCTACGCTATAAATAAGTAATATCAAAAAATTAATATTAAAAATGCATAAATTATAAAGTATATAATACTAACCTTGATGAGTTTGACAAAAGGGAACAGTGACCAAAATGTCACTGTTCATCAACTTTTTTACTTAAATGCCACGCGAACAGTGTTATTTCCCAATCTGCCTCGGGGGCAAGTTCGCTACCCGGTGTAGCGAACTCAGTTTGCTGACGTGTCACGTTTCTAGTGGACACCAACTTGATTTTAACCAAGTTCGCCTACATGGTAGGTGACCTTCATTTTTTATTATTATTATTTTTTTAAAATTTGATATTTGTTATCCATTAAAAATGTGACACGTCAGCAAACCGAGTTTGCTACACAGGGTAGCGAACTTGCCCCAGTGACATATTGGAAAATAACACTGTTCGCGTGGCATTTAGGTAAAAAAGTTGGTGAACAGTAGCATTTTGGTCAGTATTCCTGACAAAAGTGTATCAAGAGAGAGTGTATATTGAGAGAGACTATGTATTGAGAGAGAGAAAGGGAAGGATGTGTGGGGTGAGGGGTTTATATAGGCAAGACTAAGGTGGATAGTTGTTGGACCAAGTTCGCTTCCCTCTCCAGCAAACTTGTTCACGTCATGACATGTGGCCAACAACTATTTTTTTATTATTATTGTTGCACCTAGTTCGCTGGAAGGGCTAGGAAACTTCTCTGCGCTTGACACATGTCTTGTCAGATGGACACATCGTGAGATATTGACAAATAATACTATTCATGTGGCATGTTGGTAAAAAAATGCCAAATGTATGATAAATTAGTCACTGTTTCACTTTTCGTTTTGAAATAATGTTAAATCAGTGTTGTTGTTTTTTTTTTAAATTGTCTTAGTGCTTTCAAAAAGCAGAGATAAGGGGAACAGTGACCATTTTGTCATACTTGACAAAATAATTTATCAAACTGTCACGCCAACAGTAAATTTTGTCAAAATGCCACGCGACATATTTCGCTACACTGTCTAGCGAAATATGTTTGTATATAATTTGCTACACAGTGTAACGAAATAAGCCATGTCAGGATGCACAATCAGCAAAAATGACACGTGTCAAGCAGGCAGAAATTCGCTACACTGTGTAGCGAATTATGCTTGGATTCTGCCTGCTTGACACGTGTCACTTTTTGCTGACTGTGCATCCTGACATGACATATTTCGCTACACAGTGTAGTGAATTTCTGCCTGCTTGACACGTGTCATTTTTGCTGATTGTGCATCCTGACATGGCATATTTCGTTACACTGTGTAGCGAATTATATGCAAACATATTTCGCTACACAGTATAGCGAAATATGCCGCGTGACATTTTGACAAAATTTACTGTTGGCGTGGCAGTCTAGTAAATTTTTTTGTCAAGTGTGACAAAATGATCACTCTTCCGAGATAAGGAGCTAATCACGGAAATATTTTAGATATTATATCGGTATATTTTTTATCAAATTAAAAAAAAAAATATTTGTATACGACTTTTATTTTTATGATTATGTACTTTCACATTTTTTTTTCATAAGAAAATACCTATTCCCAATACATTAAAAAATCTACTCGTGACCACGGGAAATGAGATTTGATCATTCACACTGTGGGAAGGAATGAAAGAGCAAGAAAGTTGGAGGCGCTGCTGGCACACAACAACATGGGTCCCATTCTCACCATACATTCAATGCCGTTGTTTCTGCATCACCTGCTTTACCCTCACCTTCGACTCAACATCTCATCTAGTCACTTCTCACAACCTGTTTCAAAGGGTTCACTCACTCATTTCCCTTGTCCCATCCAAATTAATGTTTCACTTGGATCTCTCTCTCTCTCTTTTCAATAATCACCGTTCTTTTTTTGTTGGTCCTCACTCAATACCCCTCTTACCTCATTGTGCTATTTAGTTGAGAGTGTATAGTGAGTGAGTGGGAATGATGGAGGGGGATGAACCCCAGGTTGAAGCCACTGTTGTTCCTCCACCTTCATCTCCACCTCGTCGTGTTCTTCTCATATCAGCCGGTGCAAGCCACTCTGCTGCCCTTCTTTGTAAGCTCGTTTCTCTTGTACCCTTTATTTCATTATTGAAAATATACCATTTGGGTTCTCTAAAGTTTACATTTTTAATAACTTGAAATCCCTCACTCAGATTATTTGTTCATGGGTTTGACTTGTATGGTCATGGATTGACTTCCATGTTTTTCCAGCTGGGAATGTTGTTTGCTCGTGGGGTCGAGGAGAGGATGGACAGTTAGGGCATGGTGATGCTGATGATAGGCTTTTACCAACGCAACTAAGTGCATTGGATGCTCAAGAAATAGTCTCTGTTGCTTGTGGAGCTGATCATACCATTGCTTATTCTGAGTCACGCGTGGAACTATATAGTTGGGGATGGTCTGCAATCTATATTTTTACTTGTTTCTTTGAAGTTTATCGTGCTGAGAAATGTTTGCTAGTGTGTTCTGTAATAATATCATAACTGAAATCTAATTTGGCACTTGTGTTAGAAATGGATCAAGCTAGTTTATGGATCCTCTAATGTGGTGTTAGATTCAGCTTCAAGATAGTGCTTTTGTGATATTCTCACCTATATCTTTAATATTTTTAAAATGTTAGTTCATTACATCCTGATGGTGTTGGATATTTGCCCTTGTTGCTTCGAAGACTCTTGTATCATGGATTTGAGTTTGTGCATTTTTTTTTTAACTGCAGTTAATGGTAGTCCTTTATATGACACCTAGTTGTAAGTTGTAAGTTGTAATTATCATAAAGTTAATCTTTTGGAATAGAGAGATTTCATCCTAAAATTAAATATCCATTTTCTTTCGCAATTATGTCTATGCACTCGTGAGTAGTTCTCACTGTACAGTGGATAGTTTTTTTTTTTTTTTTAGCTAGCTGATCAATGGATAATTTTGCTAAGTTTAAGCAGTTTCTCTGTACGCAATAATTTGATTTGGGTGACAGCAAGAAACTGGACATTTTATGTTAGATTGTATGAAAACTCATTTCGTAGATAGAGTTGTCAACTCTGGGCTTAAAATGTTTTGTGTTGATCTCATTCACCCTTCAGTTTCTGGAACATTTTTGTTCACATCAAAAATAGTTTTTTGATACATGGTTATCTGTGGTATCATTGATTTTGAAGCATATTATAATCTGATTTTTTCAGGGGTGACTTTGGAAGGTTGGGTCATGGTAATTCTAGTGATTTGTTCATTCCTCAGCCAATTAGAGCTTTACAAGGACTAAGGATAAAGCAAATTGCTTGTGGGGATAGCCACTGTTTGGCTGTTACCATGGAAGGCGAGGTGCAGAGGTTTGTAGTTCTTGAACAAATTTTTATCTTTATTTGTTGTAACCTATTTTTGTCCATTTACAAATTACTTTTCTTGCATCAATAAAGGTGTTAGAGAACCATTAAAAAGGCCCTCACCTAATAGCTTAAGTTTTTGGGTTAAATTGGTTCTTTACATGATATATGAGCTTTGGTGTCATGAGTTCGATCCTTACCGTCCCCTATTTAATTAATAATTAATTAAGTCTTGTGGAGTTTGTTAACACAGGTAGGTGGGTTTGTGCATTATCCATCCTTAAAGCCTAGTCGGCTTTCGTGTTAGGGGACGTGTTAGAGAATATTATAATATATTAAAAAGCCCTCACCCAACATCTTAAGCTTTTGGGTTGAATTGGTTACAAAAGGTTTTGTTGCTTCATTGAGTGTATATATAGAAACTGACAGGGCAATCGCGTAGAACCATTTTTAAATGTATGCTAATTCTTGGGCCTCTTTTTTTTTTTTAATTTCATTCCCTTGTCTTCTCTGTTTACTGAAAGAAAAATTGAAGAGTATCTTTGGCACTGGAATAGAAAGAGGTTGCTTTGAATTAGCCCTTTTGATTTTGGGGACAGACTCTATTCTTTTTACTTAAGTAACTTTTAAAAATACACTACCTATGCAAATACTTCCTTTATGGATTAGCTCTGCTACCTTGCTCATGGTACATGCTTCTAATTTAGTTTGAACTCACTTACAACCTGACACCGTTGCTTAATTATCATTCCATTATAAAGGTATAAATACATATACCTTGTTTTATTCTGCGAGACTGAAGGGCAGTCTTCTGTTTGTAACAGCGAACATAAAACCTAGATGGAGGTGCTAGCCTCAAGTCATCTGGTTCATCATAAAATTGGTTGTTTTATTCTCATTTCCTCTCACATTTATAATATTTTTCTCTTTATCTCTACTCATTGAAGTTGGGGGCGGAATCAAAATGGTCAACTTGGACTTGGCACCGCAGAAGACTCTCTTGTGCCACAAAAAATTCAAACATTTCAGGTACTTTTTTCAAAGACATTCGTCAAGGTCATAATGATAACTTACTTTTACCATATACTTAATTGCTTCCCATCCACCCTTTTTTTAAATCAATATTAAAAAGGATATATAGTCTCTCTCCCCTCCCCCCCATCTATATTTATTTCATCATGTCCCCTTTTAAAAACTCGATTGGTGAAGACTGGTTCTTATCTCATGAAAAAGAAAGATGAATAATAATGATTGAGATTTGTTTAGAAGATTAACTTTGGAACTAGAAATTTTGGTTAATGTGGCAAGTAGTAATAAGGTTGATTAGGGATGCTTTTTAGACTTCTTCAAACTTAACCTGTGAACACCCCTAGCAGAATGAAAGAGAAAGATGAGTAATAATGATTGAGATCTTGTCTAGAAGATTAACTTTGGGAAATAGAAATTTGGTAAATGTGGCAAGTAGTTATCAAAATTTGGGAAATGGTATTTATTGGTTGGAAGTAAGGCGGATTTGCTTATCATTAACTGAGATGTGGACAAAAAGTAAGGGTATGGGGATGTTAGGATAGTATGTGTGCAAGAGTAATTGTATGTGATATGATAAGAGAAAAATTAGTATCTGGACTAATTTGAGAGAGATCAGTAATCATGACACATAGATTCATGTATAATGTGACAGGTACTGTTGCTAAGGGTCAATGGTTTCAGTGCCATTGTACTCATCTTGCTTGAAAGGGTAGAGACAGTGTGTGTTCTGTGCAACATGGGCCATATTCAAATCCTATTAAGCCATAACCTCCCTCTCTCTGCTTTTCCTAGATAGCAGCCTTCCTTGTCAGATCCAATTCCTTCCAGGTGGCATGTGTATTTGCACCTAATTCAGACCACCCTGTTTTGAGCCAGGATAAATACCCCTTTCCCTCTCTTGAATGAACACTTTCACATTTTCTAGAAAACTCAGTAGCAAAGTTAAACTTCTGCACAAGATTCCTCTCTTGCATTAGCATTCATCATTCTCTTTCTTTGTGCCCAGGAAAGGAACAAGCACCTAGGTTTTACATAGTAACCCTCATACATACTCATGTTGGGTGCCCACTCACGAGGCTCATTCAGTATATAGCTTTCCACATCTTCCAATCCATCTTGCTTGAGATGCGTATCTTTCCTGCCTTCCTGGCTGTGTGGGTCCGCTTTATTTTCATGTGTTGGATCCCTCAAAGAAATCCTCTCAAAACAATATTCAACAATAGTTATACATTATATTATGTATGTATTGGACATTGAAAAATATAATGCATTAAATGAGTTATTCAATTAACTATTGGGCACATGTAAATTTTTATATTGTTGTAGGGAGTACCTATCAAAATGGTTGCTGCTGGTGCTGAACACAGTGTGGCTATTACTGAAGATGGAGAACTGTATGGATGGGGTTGGGGCCGATATGGAAACTTGGGATTGGGAGATAGAAATGATCGGTGGATCCCTGAGAAAGTTTCTGCTGTTGATGTATGTCCTCAAACTGGTATCATCTTACCTTTCCTGATTAGACCGTGATTGTATCAATTAGAATTTGGAAGATATATGATTTTGCATATTGTTTGATTTCTGAGTTTTTTTGACTTGCTATTGACTTTAATAGAAGAAGCAGCATTTCCTGGGGTTAACTTTTAATGATTGTCTATTAGTCTAGAAAATATTGTTAAGATTTGTAAGTAATTGGTGTCTGATGGAACTGTTTTGTATTGATAACTGGAAAACAATGGAGCACAGCCCCTTACAGTAATTCAAAGACAAAAATGAGAAAATGACCCTAAGAAGAGAATTAAAGATACCCGAAATAGACTCCCAGAGGTGGTCCCCAACGTACCCTCTATTCCCCTAGTGTAATGACTCATTAAAAATCAATCTGAATCCCACACTCACATTATAAACTCTCATTTCCCCCTCCTAACGGTTAGCCCCTTTCTCCCTCTCTTCTAACTAACTCATTTCACTTCCCTCCCTATTCCAAATGCACTTTGCACCACGGGATCCTCTCTCATTACTTCCAAGTTATCTTGCATTACTGGGCCTGGATCTCCTTGCCATGTTCTTGTTACCCCTGACCCTGATCCAACCACCTTGGGCCTGCTCCTCTTCCCTTTTCTGCCATAGATACATTTTAGGGTCTCACCAGTGTGCATATGCATACTAATGGATGGAAAATATTACCCCTTCCCCTCTTGCCTAATGCTTACTTGTTTAAATTTGCAGTGTGACAAGATGGTCATGGTTGCTTGTGGCTGGCGGCATACAATATCTGTTTCGTCTTCTGGTGGCTTATACACATATGGATGGAGCAAATATGGCCAGCTAGGACATGGAGATTTTGAGGATTGTCTTGTGCCTCACAAACTTAAAGCCTTGAGTGAAAAATCAATTTGTCAGGTAATCCTCTAATTTTATGTTGAGTTGGTGCCTAAGTGGCAATTTCTTATGTCATTTGGATGCTTTGGCATTTCCCTTCACTCTGCTTGTTTAGTGGGTTGTATCTTCCCCCAGTCCCAGATGGTATGAAAATACTTCTCATTTAAGGGTTCCATCCTATCTGTTTTTTCTCACACTAATTTGATTCTGTTCCACCTTTTTACTGGAATATGATTTCTGGTGGTTGTGTAAGACAAGCATAAATTGGTCCATCACCATCTTGCCTCCCCTAAAACCTGCAAACTGGGTGCAATGTATTTAGTGTTAGATATAGTGATTATAGTTGTCTTTGTTTGTGTCTGAACTTTCCTTGGCTGTCTTTCAGGTGTCAGGTGGTTGGAGACACAGTATGGCACTCACCTCTAGTGGAATACTTTATGGATGGGGTTGGAATAAGGTTGACAGCATTTTTTTTATTCTCCCTGTATGTTCACGTGACATTTCGTAATTTGTATTATAACAAAAAATACTCTTTGATTTATGAACACAACAGAGGATAACAATCTAGAAAGCATGTATAAGACATGGACACAGGGATACAGCAAATTTTAGAAATTATAGGACACAACTCGGCTATGACACAACATATAAAATTGGTATAAAATTAGCATAAAAGTACAAATCTTTAATTGAAAGAGAGAACTGACATTTTAAAAGTTAACATAGTGTAGAAAATCAGAATTCAAACATGTTTCCGTTTTTATTTCCTATTAATTAGGATTGATTATGATTGATTAGGATTGATTAGGATTGATTGTGATTGATTAGAATTGATTGTGATTAGGATTGATTAGTCATCGCTTAGTCATTCTTAGCATTTCTTTCTTGTATAAATACTCACTCATGTAAATTATTCAATATCAATATACAAAAACTTCTTTTCAATATGGTATCAAGAGCGGGTTTGTTCCTACCCTAATTCAAATCTGAAATAACCATCCAAACACTTCCATCACCGTCAAACACCTCCTAAACACCTCCTTGAATCTGTCCAACACAGAAACCTAGTCTACTGACCTCCGATCAAGAAAGTGAGGTGACCATTCGACTCAGAAGGATCCGACGAGTCGACCGCCGCTGGACCCATCGCCGCACGCGCCGTCACACGCGCGGCCAGTCTCCGGCGCGTGAGCTCCACGCGCCGCCTTCCCAACGTCTTTTTCCGCCGCGACTTGCACAGACCTTCTCGCCGGCTTCTCCCCTTCCTGTTCCAGTGGTCAGATCAAAAATTTATAAAACTTGATTTTTCATCAACGGTCAACCCTCCTCTTTCTATTCATGGCTTCCTCAAAACACTCTTCTGCCTCCTCATCTGCCCCAAATTCTCAGTCCTCTGGAGACAACTTAGGTTTGCAGATCACCAATCACCGGTTGAACGGTAAGAATTTTCTGCAATGGTTTCAATCAGTTAAGTTGGTCATCCGGGCAAAGGGTAAGATGGGCTATCTTGAGGGAAGAATTAAGAAACCTACTGAGAATTCTCCTGATTATGAATATTGGGAGATTAATAATTCCTTGGTCATGGCTTGGCTGACTAATTCCACGGAACCACAGATTGGCCAAACCTATATGTTCTTTGATACTGCCAAGGAAATTTGGGATGCTGTTCAACAGAATTACTCCGATCTGGAGAATACCTCTCAAGTTTTTGAACTGAGAAATAAGTTGAGAGACTTTCGTCAAAGGGGTATGACTGTTACTGAATATTTTACTGCACTAACGAATTTATGGCAGGAATTGGATCTTTATTATGCATCTGATCTTAAGGGATTGGAAGCTAATACCCAATTTAAAAAACACTTGGAGAAGGAAAGACTGTATGATTTCCTTGCCGGACTCAACCGAGATCTTGATGAGGTTCGTGGTCGAATATTGGGGCAGCGACCGTTACCTTCACTTGCTGACGCCTTTGCTGAAGTTCGTCGAGAAGCCAGTAGACGGAGAGTTATGCTGGGAGAAAAGGAGTCGCTTGATAAGTCTGATGATATGTCTGCATTAGCTGCCAACCGTACCATTGACTGTTCTTCCGGAGAATCAAAACGGGATGGTCGTCCATGGTGCACCCACTGCAATAAAATTGGTCATACCCGTGAGAAATGTTGGGAAATTCACGGGAAACCTGCAAATTGGAAGCCCAAAGGACAAAATAAAGGTCGTGCATATCAGGTCTCTACTGATGACAAGGTTGATGAGCCTCATGCATCCTCTGACTCTGATGGTGTCTTTCTTAGCAAGACTCAGTTTGAACAACTTCAGAGACTTTTGACTCAACCTCCTAAGGCCACTAGTCATGTGGTCCAGCAAGGTACAACTTTCCATGTTGATAGTCAAAATCATTGGATCCTTGATTCTGGAGCCTCTGATCATATGACAGGTAATCTTGACTTGTTTTGTTCATACACTCCATATTCTGAACCTTCTTGGGTCAAGATCGCCGATGGCAGTTTTTCCCAGATTGCGGGACACGGAACCATTAAACTTTCTAAACTGATTACTTTGACATCAGTTCTTTATGTTCCTTCTCTGACTTGTAATCTTATTTCCATTAGCAAGCTCACCTCTGAATTGCATTGCTTTGCTAAATTCTTTCCACATGGTTGTGTTTTTCAGGAACAGGACTCGGAGAGGATGATTGGCAGTGCTGGAGAGGATGGTGGACTTTACTACTTTGAGGAGGATGTGACTCATGAAGCTGTTTTCGTAGAAAAAAACTCTATGTTTCCTTTTGATTCATGTAATGATGTTATGCTGTGGCATCGTAGGCTAGGCCATCCAAATTTTATTTATCTTCAGAAGTTGTTGCCAAACTTATTTATTAATAAAAGTCCAAGTTTGTTTTCTTGTGATATTTGTCAACTTGCCAAGCATACTCGTGCTCATTATCCTTCTAAAGTTCACCATGACTCTTCCCCATTTTCCTTAATTCATAGTGACATATGGGGTCCAGCCCGTGTTAAAAATATTTCAGGTACTCGATGGTTCATTACCTTCATTGATGACCATTCTCGAGTCTGTTGGGTGTATCTTCTAAAGGATAAGTCCGATGCTGCATCCGTGTTTAAAAAATTCCATGCCATGGTTCAAACCCAATTCCAAGTTGCTATACAAATTCTTCGTACAGATAATGGCAAAGAGTATTTTAACTCTATTCTTGGAGAATATCTTTCCCAACATGGCATCCTTCACCAAAGCTCGTGTCCTGACACACCCCAACAAAACGGAGTTGCGGAAAGAAAAAACCGACATCTCCTTGAAGTTGCTCGGGCTCTTATGTTTACCACGAGTGTTCCTAAATATCTTTGGGGAGAGGCAGTTCTCACTGCCTCGTATCTGATAAATCGAATGCCATCTCGCATTCTGAAATTTCAGTCTCCTCTTTCTAGTCTTGTTCGTATCTTCCCTTCCTTCCGAGGTGTCTCCTCCTTACCTCTCAAGTTATTTGGTTGCGTTGTATTTGTCCATATTCCCTCCCATCAACGGTCTAAGCTTGATCCTAAGTCTCTTCAGTGTGTCTTTATTGGTTATTCTCCTACTCAACGTGGCTATAAATGTTATTCACCCTCTCTTCGTAAGGTCTTTGTCTCTATGGATGTCATTTTTTCTGAGAATGACCCTTTCTTCCCCTCGACTTCTCTTCAGGGGGAGTCTATAGGAGTAGATGAAGATCAGTCATGGGAACCTACTGATGCCACGGTATTACCTCTACTTTTGGAAACAGGGGGAGCTACAGAATCCTCACCATCAAGAGCCTCCTCAAAATGGGGACAAGTTTATAGCAGGCGAAAGCCTCCTCAGAGTGTGAATAACCCAGAGCCTCTACACTGCCAGGATTCTGAACCATGTTCTAGTTCCAGCACCCCAATACTTGAGTGTCATGGTGAAAATGATCTACACTTGCCCATTGCTCTCAGAAAAGGTACTCGATCTTGTACTACTCATCCTATTTCTAATCATATTTCATATGGAAAGTTGCCCCCAGGGTTTCGTGCTTTCAATACTATGTTGGATAGTACAAAGATACCGAGAAATATACATGAGGCTCTCAATGATCAAAAATGGAAGGATGCTGTCTTTGAAGAAATGAATGCTTTAGAAAGAAATGGAACTTGGGAGATAGTGACCTTACCCAAAGGAAAACAGGCAGTAGGATGCAAATAGGTGTTTACAATAAAATTCAATGCAGATAATAGCATCAACAGATACAAGGCAAGATTGGTTGCAAAGGGTTTCATTCAGACTCATGGGATAGATTATCATGAGACTTTTGCTCCGGTTGCTAAAGTCAATACCATCCGAGTTCTCTTATCTCTTGCTGCCAATCTAGATTGGCCTCTGCAACAGTTAGATGTGAAGAATGCATTCCTAAATGGTGACTTACATGAAGAAGTCTATATGGATCCTCCACCTGGTTTTGAAAAGGGAAATGGATCAGTGTGTAAACTAAAAAAGTCTCTATATGGATTGAAACAATCTCCCAGAGAATGGTTCGACAAATTCACACAAGCAGTCAAAAGAAGAGGCTTCATTCAAGCACAGACTGATCATACTCTCTTCCACAAACACACTAAGGATGGTAAAATTGCTATTCTTATTGTATATGTAGATGATATAATTCTTACAGGTGATGATATTGAGGAATTGAACACCTTGAAGAAATTTCTAGCAGCTCAATTTGAACTCAAAGACCTTGGCACTCTCAAATATTTCCTTGGTATGGAAGTTGCTAGGAGCAAAACAGGCATCACTCTAACACAAAAGAAATATGTTCTAGATCTTTTGTTGGAAACAGGAATGTTAGGGTGTAAACCTGCTGAGACACCTGTGGAACCTAATACCAAGTTAGGTATTGAAGATGGGAATGAGGTGGATAAAGAACAATATCAGCGATTGGTTGGTAAACTAATCTACTTATCTCATACGCGTCCTGACATTGCCTTTGCGGTGAGTATGATTAGTCAATTCATGCACTCACCCAAGGAGAAGCATCTTAGTGCAGTCTATAGGGTGCTTAGATACCTCAAGAATATTCCAGGAAGAGGATTATTCTTTAAAAAGGGGTATAAAAGGACAATTGAAATCTACACTGATGCAGATTGGGCAGGCTCATCAGTAGACAGGAGATCTACCTCAGGCTATTGCACCTATGTGTGGGGAAATCTTGTTACTTGGAGAAGCAAAAAGCAAACAGTGGTTGCAAGAAGTAGTGCTGAAGCAGAATTTCGAGCTTTAGCTCATGGAGTTTGTGAAGGAATCTGGTTGAGAAGACTTCTTCAAGAGTTGAAGATTTCATATTCCCTACCAATAAAACTATATTGCGACAACAAGGCAGCTGTTAGCATTGCTCAAAATCCTGTGCATCATGATCGAACAAAGCACGTGGAAGTTGATCGTCACTTCATCAAAGAAAAATTAGATGATGGAAGTGTGCGTTTGATATATGTTCCAACCAAAGAGCAAACGACAGATATCCTTACCAAGGGCCTACACCGTCCAGCATTCGAAGACTTGATTGGCAAGTTGGGAATGATCAATATTTACCTCCCAACTTGAGGGGGAGTGTAGAAAATCAGAATTCAAACAACATGTTTCCGTTTTTATTTCCTATTAATTAGGATTGATTATGATTGATTAGGATTGATTGTGATTGATTAGAATTGATTGTGATTAGGATTGATTAGTCATCGCTTAGTCATTCTTAGCGATTCTTTCTTGTATAAATACTCACTCATGTAAATTATTCAATATCAATATACAAAAACTTCTTTTCAATACATAGTTAATAAAATTATTTCATTTACTAATTATTATAGTATTCCCATTTGTATTTGTATAAAAATTCAATAATATAAAAGGATATATATTTTTTTTAAATTGAACTAGGAGTATCTGAGGTGTCTTTTTAAGTCTCTGACATGAGCACGTATGGCGACTGTTTTCAAGTGCCTGTGCTTCCTAGATAACAATTGGTGACTGGTAAAAAAATGCACATTCAGGTGTGCAAAAGCCCAAGTATATGCTGCTTTTGTAAGAAAATATTGATGAGATACAATCATGAGTCTCATTGTTAACATGTGTTTGGTCAATTGTTACTTATTTTTGCTTACCAAAAAATAAATAAAAAATTGTTACTTATTTTTCCTTCAATTGCAGTTTGGACAGGTTGGCATTGGTGACAATGTTGATCGCTCCTCTCCTGTGCAAGTGAAGTTTCCCCATGATCAGGTACTTGAAACTGCAACACTCTTCTTCCCTTTCTTTTTTTCTTTTGGAAAATTTCAACTATGTATCATAAAAGGTCATTGTTTATCTTCAAATAATGACCAACTACTTTTTTTTCTTATACACTTTGTTTGGCTTGGCAGAAAGTAGTTCAGATTTCATGTGGGTGGAGACACACAATTGCTGTTACCAAAAGAGAAAACGTATATTCTTGGGGAAGAGGCACAAATGGGCAACTTGGGCATGGGGAAACAATTGACCGGTAATTGCATATACAACCTGAATGAATTTTGTTAGGATTATCAGGCACACATTGATCTTTCACTTTATTGCTTTCTTTCTAATGTTTGCTGAAGGCACTTGGGCATATTCCTTTATTTTGGTCATAATGGTAGTTTTAAAGTTAAAATATTAGTTTGTTAGTAGCATTAACTCTCTTTTTTTGTAATGATGGCACGGAAGGTTGAACCTATGACCTGCTAAGTACCCAATTGTCACTTGTGCACTCCTAGGGGGCGTTTGGTACGCAGAATTTTGAGGGATTCCCGGGAAACTGAATTTTTTTAAATTTTAAATTTTCAGATATTATCGTAAACTGAATGCAAAAATCATATTTTTAAAAATCGAGATTCCCGGACAAATAAAAATTTCTCCTGTACCAAACGCCTCCCCAGTGGCATTTTAGTTTTCCTAAGTAATTGCTTCAGACCACACCTTTAATTTGAAAAACTTGTTTTATTCAAACTTTTAAACTATCTATATAAATCATTTGGGAATAGAATATCATCATTTTCGTCATCACTATTGCTATTAATCCGCTAGAATTTGGATCAATGATCGTGGTCATGAAGTCCTTATGATTGAGTTATTGGGTCAAACATCTGCCACTCAGGAAGTGGGTGCTTAAACTCAGACCGATGTAGTATGTACGAGATTACTTTGTTAACTATTAGATAGAGCTTAGTGTTGTTATGTTGGTTGAACCATCTTTCACACCCTATTTTATTGTATCAATTCTATCTTCTCAATTATGAATGTTTGAATATAGCTTTGAATGTGCTTTTTTTCGTCCTAAAAAGAACATTGATTTTTGTGGCAACGTTGTGAAACAATGACTATGTTCGCTTAAGCGTAAGAGGTAATATTGCCTGTAACTAATTTGTTAACTGGAAACATAGTCTTAGGTATTGAGTGCATTTCGTCACATGTCTTTAGTTCATAATGTGATTTTGGGATTTTAGGAATTTTCCAAAGATTATTGAGGCTTTGAGTGTTGATGGATCATGCGGGCGGCACATACAATCCTCAAACACCGATCCATTATCAGGTGCTTTGTTCTGCTCATCAGTAATATGTTCCTTTGTTTTTCAGGCATTTCTGATATTATACCATTTTATATTGTAATTTTGATTCATATTTTTTATTCATTTATTTTATTTATACAATTTGGCATCATGCTGAGTGTTTTGTTTTCCCCTTAAACAGGGAAAACCTGGGCCTCCTTATCCGAGAGATATGCAGTTGTTCCAGATGAAACTGTAAGTGTCTCATTTTAGCATACATTATTTGTTAGTACTAGGGAGGAGCCAGAAAATTTGGTTAGAGAACTTAGGTAGAGCAACATGATAATGGGTTGATATGGAGTCAGATTTGAAGAACTTTCTTAAGTTTTCTTTGTACATGAGGAATAATAAGGATGAGGGGGCGTCCTAATACTAGACTATCTTTTTTTTTAGGCTGAGGGCATGTTTGGTGTGTGAAGTATAAGGCATGATAGTATAAGCTTATACTATACGTTATGACATTTTCAGTTGTTTGGTGTGACCATCGTATAGTATAAGCTTATACAGCATAATCCCTTAATACATCAAAACGATGTATAACTTAATCCGGCCTAAGGATGAGGGATAAGGCCTGATAAGAGATTGATGTATTGATATCGTTGACCAATGTAATTTTCAAAAATTAATATATTATTTTAATATTAATCTATTAAAATAAAAATTAATTTTTCAATATATTAATTTTTAAAATATTGAATTTTTTTTTTTATAAAAATTAATTTAGATTTTGGACACACTGATCAATAAATTCTTATAAAAATTAATATCATATGATATTTTTTGAAGAATTATATAAATTCTTTATTAAAGAATATTTTTATTAAAAATATTTATTTTTATTATATATAGTATCATATAGTGCATTACTAAATACTAGATGATATTATCTTATATAATATATTATTTTATACAATATCGTGCCAAACACTAGATAGTATTAAAACTCAATCAGGGGTCTTATACAATCAGGCCTTATATTATCAGGTCTTATACTATCAGGCCTTATTTTATACTATGTACCAAACATGCCCTGAATAAAGTCCAAGACAATGGTTCGATTAACTTGAAAATGGCCCCTCCCACCTAGAGTGAAGGGTTACTTAAAACTATGTTGGGAATAATATGGTCATTTGCTCATAGTTTAGGAAACATATAATGAAAAGGATAATTTCAGCCTTTGAGGACTATCTGTATAATGACAAGTTTAGGAGTAGTGTACTTGGTCATTTGACTTGGTATGAGACTGCATTTCATGCGAAGATCAATAAAAGTAAAGCAGATTTGGTCTCTGACTTGTATGATTTGGCAGGTCTCAGGTCAAACTGCGAATTCAGGGAGGGGAGATAGGCTTGATGTTAGTGTTCCAGAAGGTGATGTCAAACGGCTCCGAGTTTGATATGCTAAATTTCCTTTAGACGAGAATGATGCATCTTATTGATTTCTTTGCACATGGGAGACATTCAGCTGCCACTAGTAATAATTTGGCTTTCAACATCGTGATTGTAAATTATAGCCATATTATGAGAAACGTTACATGTGATCTCCTTCTTCTGTATATTATTAATTAGCTTAGCATACCCTAGTTTAAAACTTTTATTTCAAGTTTTATGATGCTGCGTTTTACTTGTTCATTGCAATAAAAAGCTTATGGTCTATGACTCTATTGTAAGTAGATAGAAGAGATGGCTTATCAGCCATTATCCGCGGCTATGATGCATGGACCCTGACACGGGACACGATACGCTGACACGTTAATTTTAAAAAATGGTATATTTCGACATGTTAAGACACGTTTTGATATTAAATAATATTTTTAATATATATAATATTATATTTAATAGATATAACAGTCTATAATAAGTTATATAACCAATCAAATATTCAAATTTCATAATATAAATATAAACAAAAATAATTTTTCATACCTTGTTAATTTTTTATGTCAAAGTTTATAACAGAAAAAAATTAATTTATAAATAATTTTTTTAATTTTAGTTAATAAAATAAAATTAAGACTAAAAAAAAATGTGTCTAAGCATTTATCACGTGTACGAAAAAGTTGACTGCGTGTCTAAAAAATATGTTGAAGAGCTGATCACGTGTTCCAAAATATTAACCGCCCGTCACGCACAATTAAAGAAAAAAGACGAGTCCGTGTTTCCTTGATCCGCGGAAAAGGGGATAAATAAGGGCTTGGGAGAAAGTAGTTAAGCTACGAAGATGTATACAGACAAAGGAGTTGCTGACTGGAGTTTATGTGATGTCTTTTGAGAAAGTTCCAAGTCCTGCTAATCTTGGACTCCGAATTGATCAGTTGCTACATCGTATGTGATAATCTATGTCACTTTTTTATTTAAAAAAAATTACTCAAGGAAAGCTTTTCATTACTTTTGAGAAATTTTAGTTATTATAAAATATTTAATGGTTTTTAATATACACTATAATATTAATTATTAATATATTTTTCGTATACTTTCTTCAATAATTTTTTATGAGTGAGGTTATATTTATAAAAAAATTTTCATACAACTTTTTATAATTAAATTTTAATATTATGGCTATAAAAAAATTTAATTATTGATTTCTGTTAATATGATAGTTATAAATTATTGGGTTATATTTATTAATTAATCATTAATTTTAATAATATATAACCTTTAAATTAGTGGAAATTAAATATTAAGATTTGGTTATATGTGAAAAGAGGTTGTAAATATAATATTTTTTAATTTTTATAGTTAGATTACACCTCACACTTATTTTTAAAAAAATTAAATTGTTAATCAAAGTATTAAACTTAGAGAAAAATATGTGTCATTTTAAAGGATGTAAAGTTGTGTCATTTTAAGTGAAAAAAAGAGATAGATAAAGGGAGAGAGAGAGTGGATCAAAAAAAATAAAAGTGTGGGTCTCACCTTTTTGTGAGAGTGAAATGACATAAGTTGTGTCATTTAAAAGAACAAACACTTTTTTCCCTTGAACTTAACCGATAATAAAACTGTTAGATAAGAATACGCAAATGAATAAGTCATGAATAAAATTATGCACTTCCTGTACTCTATTTGGTAGGAATAATTTTTTTAGAATGACAAGAAAGTGAAAGTGGGATTCATATATAGGTTTAACACCTCTCCAGTTATAGGAGAGGTTGAAAATAAAGTGGGATTTATTTTTTTGAAAATAAAAAAATAGAAACACGGAATTCGAGCTAAAACAGTAGGAGAAATACACTTCTCTAGCAACACGAGAGGTGTATTTCCCTTCATATATACTCATGTTTGGTAGGAGTTTCCACGATATTTGCCCGGCCATCTAATTTGTCCTGAATTTGATGTTTTGTACAAATTATGTGATACTTTCCCTTCTGAAAATACCACCAAAAGGGTGGTATTTTTGGTTCACGAAATGTAGAGATTTGAACACAATTTTTCTGACAAATGTGCCACTAATAAAGTGAAAGCAAGAAAAAATTAACCAAAACATTCATTATTATATGGGTTTTATAATTCTCATTTAACATGAGAATTCAAATTTTCCTACACACCCTTCGATTTTCGTGTTGACATGGGTCCTACATATAATTTTTTCTAACACATGGGTCCCACATGCTTTTTATCTCTTCAACATGAGAATTGAATTCTCATTTAACATGAGAAAATCAAACTCCTAATTATATTTGAAAAAACAAAGTGAATGTGGAGTTATTTTTGTAAAATAATCCTATATTCCTACTAATATTTCACAATCAAACAAAGACTCGGTTAGAGGTGACAAAACGGGTTGGCTCGCCCCGGCCCACCACGCCCCGCATTTTGATACGGGTTGAAAATCCCAACCCACCCTGTTTTGTGGTGAGTTGGCAGGTCAACCTGCCTAAACAATAAAATAAAAAATAAAATAAAAATAAATTATCATTTATTAATTTTATAATATTACTTATTTTCGTTTCACAATTCCTTTAGGGGGTGTTTGGTAAGAGATTTATTTTGGGATTGATGGGAAAGTGTAAGTGTGTATTATTATCATGTTGGGTATAAGTTTTTCAAAAATTTTCCTAGTAAAATAAGATGCATAGAAAAAGTTAGTTGTGTGAAAAATTTGATGAAAACCACTATTCCAAAATACCACTTTGCATGTGGTATTTTGAGATGAATGGGGAAGTGAAAAGTTGAGCTCCAATCTCTTGACAAAAATGACCCTCCATGGTGGCACCAAATTTGACCAAAGAAAAAATTATAAGGGTTATTTTGGTAATTGTAACTCATTTTCCCATCAATATTTTAACTCAAACCAAACATAGATTTTATAATATTTTCCAAATTTCCCCGGTAAATTTTTTTCCAACCAAACAATTTTTTTTATATTTTCCTACCAAACTCACTTTTCAACTATTTCTCTAGTAATTACATTTCCCTAGTATTCAAAAAATTTCTCTTCAATCAAACGCTTCCTTAGTTTTTTTTTCCAATCTCAAGCCTAAATGTATACTAAGATTCAGTCATACATTTTTTAGGAACTTATTTTTGTCTCCATATATGGATAACCTTTGTCATAAATAAAATTTTTCTTCTTTATTTTTTTCTAGGGATGTACTAAGATAAACAAAATTTCATATCACAAAAGCTTAATGACAAATAAAATACTACCCAATAGAAAAAAAAAAAAATGACCGGCGCGTCAACCCGCCCCGACCCACCACCAATGAGTTGAAATGTACAACTCATCCCGCCCCGTTTTGTCAGGTTGAAATTGGAGGGTTGACCCGTCGAGTTCAACCCATATTGCTACCTCTAGACTCGGTAAACTTAACCATAAAATCTCAGTAATATTTTCGCATACCAAATAATTTTTTTATAATATTTCCGGAAAATTCACTTTCTTATCATATTCTTGATAATCATGATTCCCAAACACCAAAAAAATTTCTCTCTACCAAACATCTCTATCTGAAAAATAAAATAAAATTGAATCGTGGGTTATGATGGTTCACCAAAGATTTTCGTGGTCCAACTAAATAAGCCATTTAATGTTTTGTGGTGTGCAAGAAATAGTCGGAGAGAAAGACAAAAGAAGGCTTACAACTACTGTCAATTAACGTTTTTATTATGCGACGAAGGCATCAGGAGTTTAGGTCCCTTTTGGTTGTGGATTTCCGGATGGTAATGCTACCTTTTTATTTAAAAATCAGATAAATTAATAGTGACGAGAGAATGTATCACCATAAATAATAATGAGAACAGAATAATAGTGGATTTATAATTGAACAGTCACCTGATTTCATATCATATTAAATGATTAATTCTCTTAATTCTAAATAAAACAAAGGAAAAATATTTCTGTTTTTATTATAGAGAATTTTTTTCTGACATTTTCATATAAAAGTGAATGGATTTTATTATAAAGAAAAAATATTAGTGAGATTTATTATTTTTTTTTTGTTAGTGTGGCAAGAATTTTTTTTACAGCAAAGTATAACTATTTTTATCTAAAATACTATTAGTCATTATCAATCTTATCATGAGTTTTTGGGGTAAGAAGTGCAAAATAATTAATTACCAATCTTATATGAGTTTCACGTGTTACTTTGTCAAGACTCAAGAGTCAAGACTCGGTGTACAAAATGCAAATGGCAGAATTGTTATGAAGACCCGGTAAACGTTAACAGTTAGACGATTTCGTTCAGTTGCCTCCGATATTTTATACAATTGCTATATATCACGTATCAAAACCGTATGAAAAATGTACATTATTAATGTTTATAAAAAAAAAAAAAAACTTGATTGTAATCCATGACTTTCAACAACACGTGTTTTTCGCCGTATTGCTGCATGGTCGTAAAAATCTAACGTTGCTTTGTCTTGTATAGAAGTTGGGTTTATTATTGTGTCTCAGGCAGCAAATTTATCGAGTTGAATATATGATACGTCGGAAATGTATCTTCTTATTTAAAAAAATAAAATATATCAACTGTTATGATTTTATAATTATTTATTTTAATATTTTTTTATCATTATTAATTCATCTTTGTATGATTATGATTTCTCACATGATCATATTATATATATTTTTTAATACGAGAGAATATTCCACTCCCATGATATGAATGCCATTTACTGTTGTGTCTAGAGGACCCATCTCATTATATTATGATAATTAAATGGTTATTCACAATACAAAGAGAAAGGAAATGTCAAATAATAACAAAAAAATTATTATCAGGTATAATTACATCATAAGTGTTGAGAAAATAGATTAGGTAAATTTGTAGTATCTACCTAGCTATGGATAAAATGCTATAATATGTATTGGTGAAAATATCAACAAGGACATGAGAGATAAGGGACTAATGCTAGTTAAAAGAAATAATTTATAGTTGAATCTCAACCTAATACATTGCTGTCAATTATAAATTGATTTTATAATTTGATAATCTTGTGTACGACAGTTCGACGAAATTCCGATAAAGAAAATAGTGTAGAAATGTCAATAAAAATTTGCTTTTCCAGTGCATTATATTTCAAGGAGTAGTGAGATGCCGCTTTTTAAGAATTGATTGACACAATCCACGTACTTGCTAAACCAGGATAATCGCAAGGCCTATAATGCGCCACCGTTACAGAGCCATTAATCATTGTGTTATGTGGTTATCCAAAAAAAAATCATGGTGTTATGTGAATGTGTTTCTTGACGTGTCACATTCAGTCCAATAATTCAAGCCTTGGTCATACATTATGCAAATGCTCGTTTCTTAGAAATTTTAGAGTTTGTGCTGTCTTGTGCGTCTACATTAGATACTAAGGGGTAATTGTTCTGTATTTAATAAATAGATAAGTGATAAATATCTATTTATCAAAAGAGTTATATATGAGTTTAAATTATATTTTGTAATTTACACGTATTTTAAACCTGTTCGAAAAAGTTATGTTGTTTCACTTAAAGATTTTTGGAAAAAGTTCATCAATACTCTTGTGATTTACTTCAGAATCATATATGTTCCTGTGATTTTATTTTATGATATGCGGACAGTAGATTCTTTATTCATTGTAGGCTTGTATAGTTGTATGTTGAAGGTAGAATTTTCAATAAATCATATGGCAGTGGAAAAATTACACTTTTAAAGATAGTTTCTTACTATATTAATAACTATCGGTTTAAGTGATTAAAAACTTATTCCCCATTAGTAGAAGTATTGATTTCGAGTTATGAGAGTGAACAAAAAATCTTGCAAAAATTTCTATATGGATATGACATGATGATTAAATTCTTAATTGTTATTGGTTAAATTACTCTTACTTAATACTTAAGTTTTTTCTTTTTTTCTTTTTGTTTTTTCCAATTTATTATTGTTGAAACTGTAGAAATTTAGAAAGAAAGGAAAAAAAAGACTAAATAATAAAAAGATTGATATTAATTTCATGCGAAACATATTTTAAATTACTAATTTTTTTTATTTATATTAATATTAGATTCTAAATTCTAATTAAATAAAAAAATTATAAAATATAAAAAATTATTGTTAAGAGATCATGTAAGATATTTAAATTTATTTTATAACAAGAAATTACAAAATGTTATTTATATATTTTTTTTAGTAAACTATTTTTTATATATTTTAATAATTATATATATATATATATATATATATATATATATATGAAATTCAAGTTTTTTTTAGTAAATTAGTGAGAAATTTAATAAATTAATCTTTCTTCTCCTATAATAAATATATAAAATTATGGACTTATGTTTTAGGATAAATGATTTCTTCAGTAAATGGAGATAAATTATCTCCGATGGTCCAAGACAACGTCGTTTTAGGACAGAAATCAAGGTATTTTTGTAATTCTAATATATTGCAGGGTTATATTAGGCTTTATTATTATAATTTTTTAATCTTATAATCTCAAAACGACGTCATTTTGAATTCATTGGAGATAACTTTATCTCTAGTGACTGGAGAAATACTTTTCGTAACGAGGTGTTTGGTACGGAGAATCTGATCAGAATGTTGAAAAAGTGGTATAGGTAAAATATGTTAACCATATTTGGCATGTCTTGAAGTTACAAAATACCGATATATTATTTTTCTCATTGTTGCCTTGCTAACAGTTGTGCAAGTAATGCGCGCAAGTATACGCGACAACAAGTAATATAGGGCTGTTATAAGTCTCAGTTATCGTTCCCACAAGGATCGTTGGCGTTTTGAAATGACTAAAATTTGTAATTGCTTAAAACTGAGTTACTATTTGAAAATAGAAGAAATAACATTGTAAAGTAAAAAATAATAATCTAGAATGGACCTAAAACACTACTGTTCACTTTTCTTTTAAAATTTTCTGAATTACTTTCCTAAGTTATAAAATAAGAATGAGGAATTAAGCAACTTAAATGACAGATGTGACAGAAATTTTGAAAACAGAATAGAGATTGAAATATGAAATAACAAAGGAAATTGGAAAATCTGAATTGATAAAGAGGTTTAAAAAGGTGGGTTGAGTTTTGGCTCTCCTTCCCCACAGTGCTTGAAAAATAATTTGATTAACAAAAAACTCATCCTAAGATTCTCAGTTAACAGAACTGTATTGTTAATTTTAATCTCTTAAAAATTATTTTATCCCAAAGTTGCCCACTTCCATATCTCTATGCCAAGTGGGATTAGGACTCTTGAGACTCAGGTCCAATATTACATGAGGACTCATTCATTTCTGAATTGAGATCCCTTAGATTATTTCTCATCTAAGTCCATGTGTCTAATGCAGAATCCAGAATTAGTTGTTTCTTAACAACTAAATCCTAACCAAACCTCTGACATTCGGCCAAAATGCAGATAATTTTAAACATAAAAAAAAACATTAAACAACTGAGATATAAAAATTAAAACCAGTAAATCAAATATTTGACAAGCACTGAGGTTTGGGTATCACCTAAAACCCAACCTCTAAAAAGTTAGCCGCTATCCATATGGATGAGGCTTACACACAGTAACATAAAACTAAAGAAATTACAAAAAAGAAATGCTAGAAAATAATTTACAGCACTCGCCTAACAACCAGCAATTTCAGTGCTGTAAATGCATGTATCGAGTTCATCAGATGAACCAGAATCTCATTACAAAATAGAAATTAAAAGAAAATAAAAATTGTGCAGAAAGCAAGAACTAATAAAAACGATAAATCAGAAAACCAGGAGTCGGAAGAAGGGACCGCTTTGACTCACTCCTCTTTCCCTTTTTATAGGGTTCCTTTCCTTCTTTGCGCGATTTTCCTCTCCAGCTCAGCAGGTATACACGCGCTCCTTGCACGTTACACACCAGTGGTCCCCAACCGTTCCACAATCGCAACAAATTTTGCAAATGAAATTTTTCTCCGCACTCATAACAGTATCCTCGTCACTAATCTGTTTGTGTATGGCTTCTAGAACAATAGCCTTACAAAGCAGGCTTGTGTGGTTCAATGGGTGACAGAAAATGAGACTGGATGATCGTTTTGGATGGCTAAGTGGTTGGATTGAAATGAAAGGTTAAGGATTTGGTGTGAGGCTGTGGTTAGGGTCTGAGTCGTGGTTTGAGAAAGAGAGGATTTGGGTTCGTGAGATCTGAAGACTCAGATGTTACTTAGCTACTTTTGTGTTGGTCTTTTCGTAGGTTTTGTGTCTTTCCCTTACAAATGGGCTTCTGGTGAGTCAATGAACAATCATCAGCCCATTTCTTTTTTTTCTTTTATTTCTTCTCTTCTTTGATTTGGGTTTCTCTGATTTGGAAAGTAACATATGGGCCTGAAAATAAAAAATGAGCCCATTAGTATCCAAAACCTATTATATTTCAACTCAACATAAATTTGGGATTTTTAATCACACAAAAATTATTCTTTTCTCTCCATTTTCACATTAAACCATATGTTTCAAGTCTCATTTAAGAGACTTATCACTCATGCATTTCGTTTTGAACTAGGCAATGAAAAAAAAAATTGCCATTTAAACTGTGGTATTTTTTTAATCTGACAATGAAGAAACGCTTTTTATGATTTGTGGACAAAAATGCCTTATAGAGAGGAAGAGAGGTTCAGCAAAATTTTATGAAAAAAAAAAACGTACAGGAGTGCTAGAACGTAATGGGTACGTTTGTTGACTAATATTTTAACATAATGAGTAATTTCATAAATTTATTATACATTTTGATCAATATTTCATCATCAATCAAACAAAGCATTAGTAAAAATAACTTAATTTTTCCGACAAAATTTTTGCCTATCAAATACCTTTTTGTAACTTACCAGGGAAAAAAAAATTTCATCATATTCTGAGAAATTTTTTTCCCTGATAATAAAAAATATTTCTCGTACCAAACCTCAATAAGTTGTATGTTATATAATATGAGAAATGCTTTTCTCATATTACACGAGAAAATTTTCTTATATTATATATTTATCGAAATCCAAATCATCATTTTTTTTTTCTTAGTTGTAGGGCCCACTTGATTATGTTTCTATATGAAATCGATTTTTCGCATTACATAAGAAAAATATAGGCCATATAGTATAGTTAAAGATTTTAAAATTAAAACAAATTAATAGAATTTTTGTAAATGTTAAAAATATCTAATATATTGCCTACAAGAATTTAATTCTGTTCAATTATAAGTATTAACAAATTAGACTATCATATAATAATATATTATCATGTTGTTTAATAAATTTAATATTTGATTAAGTTAGTAACATGGTCAAATTTATTAAATAATTTATCAATATAATATTTAAAAATAATGTTAAGGAGTTATTCTTATTCAACTTTCCTCATCTTCAACGATACCTGTCGTTTTATTTTGGCAAAAATGTTTGTCATTTTAAATAATAGAAAATTATGTCATTTTAGAAGAGATAAAGACACAGAAAATTTAAATTTTAAATTAAAAAAACCACCCATTTTTTCTCTCACATGATTTTCGTTTTTCTGTGTCTACCTCTCTCTCTTAAATTGACATAATTTATATCATTTAAAAATGACAAACACCAAACTCTTTTATTTTATTTTGTACAAAATATAAATATCGTGTCATTTCAAATATTTCCTTTCACTACCAAACAAATCCTTGAATTTTTGTTACCAAAAAAAAAAAAAAATTCCTTGAATTTTAAAATTAAATCTAGAATGACATTTACTCCTTCAGACATGAACATAACGTGATTCCATCCCCAAAATAAGAAAAAAGAAAAAGAAAAAAAGTAACGAGTCTTCATCCTTTAGGCAAATTCTTCAACAAGGGAAAGAAAAGAAAGCCAAGGTAACAAACACAAAAGAGGGGAATGGAATTAGTAATATACAGAGAAAGCAATAAGGCCTAACCAGTAGTACAAAGCAAGAACAAGCAGAAGAAAAAAAAATAAAATAATTAAAAAAAACTAAAAAAATTAAAGGGGTGCACGGTTCAGATTCCACCATTCCGTGTATCCTCTCACCGTCTCACCTCACCGCGGATCCACCGTAGAAGGAGGATACCATCACTCACCAGATCTCTCTCTCTCTTAAGCATAGCTTTTCATCTTTCAATTCTCTTGTGGATCCTCTCTTTTCATTATCAAATTCTCGCACCATGAACGATTTCGATGGTCTCTTAGCAACCGATTTCGGGCTCAAACCCCAAGGGAAATCGGCGCCAATGGCAGCTTCCAAGGGATCTTCAAATTCCCTCAACTTCGATTTAGGTTCCCGATCCACTCGTTCTTCTAATTCCTTCACTGCCGATTCCGCTAATCAGAAGAATCCAAACCAAAACGCTGGTGGCTTTGACGATCTGTTCGGTGGCTCCGTCAAATCGGAGAATCGTGGACTCGATGCTCCCTTCGATTTGGACTCCATGTATCGGGGTTCCAGTGATTTTGGTTCCAAATCCGTGAATTTGCCTGTGTACGACAAACCGGTCTACGACGACGACATATTTGACGGCGTCCCGGGCCTAAAGAGCTCCTCTAAGGTCACATACGATGGCGTTTTCGCTTCGGGAGGGAGCTCCGGTGGTGCGTTTGATGATCTTCTGGGCGGGTTCGGTAAATCGAAGAGATCGGAAAAGGATGAGAAAGTTGCCACTGATTTTGATGATTTGATCCCTGGATTCGGGAGCGCTAAGCCTTCCAGTGATAGGTATGGATACAGTGTGTAGTTTTAATTAAGCTTGTTTACTTGCATAGTGGAATGCATTTTACTTGAAAGCAAAGTATGGATTTTTTTTTTTTCTTTCTTTCTATGGTAGCTCTTTAATGTAACGTTTAAGCTAGTGAATGTTGTGTAGTGAGACCTGAGGTTTATTGATATGAGGGAAAACCTATTCATGTGGTAAAATAACATGTGAAACTATGAGATTATAATAAGCTCGAAAGATGAGTGATAAATGCTACAATTGACTATAAATTTGGCAGAGGCCTTGTCTTCCTCCCTCCTAATCAAAAAAACCAGAGAAGTCACGGGGAGTTTCAAATTCTACCCTCTTTGTTTAAATGTAACATGCACAAAAGTATAACAGAATGTTTCGTTGAAGGGTTTAGAAGCTTTTGACAAAATATTGATTAGAATAGTGATGGCCTATTAATTGTGTTTAAACTTATTTGATGGAAAAATAAATAAATCGTTGGCAATAATCTTAGTGAAATTTTGGATTGTTTATGTAACTATGGAGTATGATCTACTAACTATGTCTTTTGAGATGCCTTCATGTAGCATTCTTCTATACTTCATAGTTCATCATACCCGTGAATATAAAAAAGTTCACCACCATGATATACTAAACATGTTATAAAATATTATTTGTCTGCTGATTATTGTTGTAATCAAACAAGGAATCATAAGCCTACTAATGTCATCGGTGGATTATTGTCTAAATATATATATATATATATATATATATATATATATATATATATATTTTTATCTTCTGAAATTGTTCTTAGTTGTTTGGAACAAAGTAGTTATTTGCACCGCAATAGCGCCACGAGCTGTTGTGCCGTATGGGCGTTGCGGTACCTCGCCGCAAGAAACCGCGCCGCATAGCTATAGCGGCTATTGCAATCGCATTTGTGGCCAAATCCCGGCCATATTGTTGTCAGGTAAAATGTCAATTTTGTTCTAAATTTAAATGTGTAACAGAAAATTTGTAAGGGTTTTTTAGTCTATCGGCGTCTCTCTCTGTCACTTCTTCTCTCTGTCACTTATGCTATCTCTGCCTTTAAAAAATGTTTCTTTTTGTCATTATTTCTGTTATATATCTATTCCGCTATTTCCGCAACCGTAACCCGCTATAGCGTTTTTTGGGGTTGGCTGCGACATGCCGCAATCCGTATTTGATAACTTTGGTTTGGAACTTGGAGGTAGCTATTCTGGAATATGCCTAGTTTATACAGGTTTCATTTGGAGGGGAAGGAGATACTTTTTGCTGATTATGTATTCTCTTCTCCTATGCTGGCACAAACTGTCTGTTTGGCAATGAAGATTCAGGTGTATTGTTTCTAGGAGCTCACTATTGTAGTTAATGCATTATTCTTGTTGAATAGGTCTGTCAAGCACATTGGGTGTGTCTTGTGCATTTTGAAATATCGGACTGAGATTATTGTCTGTATGATATCAATTTTCGTGGTAATCTATCCAATAGATATTTAAGTTGGCACTGCATCATTTGAAAGCTAACGTATAGTTATGCTTGCTGATTTTATTCATTAAAGTCGACAATTGAATGAAGCTCAAAGGAGTTTGGAAGAAGTAGAAGAGGCACCAATGAGCTGATTTTCTTCAGTGGTTTAATTTTTTGTACTACATTTTCAAATTGGGTCATTATAGGTGGACACTCCCGAGTCTCATGGGAACTTTTTGATACAAAAGAGCATGAGTGGCACAGATAAAATTGTGTTCCTAAATTACTTCAAGAATTTGAGAATGCCATACACCTTGGGAAGATTAAGTTCAACATTTTTGTTTCTAGCTCAAGTTTTAATTTTTTCAGTAGTAACTTTTGAAATGTCAGGTAATAATTTTCCTTTTCCATGAATTTCTATCTAGGAAGTGCATTCATCATTTTATCTGGTTGCTGATGTGATCAGGTCTATACAGAAAGCAAATTATTGAGTCTTATGACTTCATTGTTGCTAAGCATCTCATTTGGTTAAACTATTGGTTGATGTATCGTAATCATTTTACATATCGTTTTATTCACAGGCCCACTCCTGATATTGGTGTGTCATCAGAACCTACTGTCAGTGCATCTAAAACATCCTCCATTGCAACAGAAGACCCTTTCAATGTATTTGAATCAGCTTCCACCCCAGTGGATTCATCCTCAGGTCACTTTAAAGACCCGTTGGAAGAAATTAGTAAATTTACTAGTTCTAGAAGCACAAAAAATGATAGTTCGTCAAATTCTAATGGTGGATTATATGATGATATTGATCCCTTCGATGGACTTGGAAAATCTGTTCCAGCATTCTCATCAGAGAGAAATAGCAGGAAGGGTAGCAGTTCCCCGACTCCAATGTCAAACTCAAGTTCAAGTTGGACCGGAGATAAAGAATCAATTGAGAAATCGTCTGTGAGGAGTCCTGAGAGACACTCACAAAACAAGATTCCTGTTGAACATGATCAGGAGTTTCATCGAGCTCCATTTGACATGCCTACATATTCATCTGAATCTAATAAACCAGTTGGTCAAAGGTCTACTTCCCCTTCATATGATAATGATGGTTTTAGACAGGCCAATACTAAGGGGGATATGTCTCCGAGATTTGAAGAAAAGATGGAATCAAATGATGATATATGGCTGACGGTATCAGAGATTCCTCTTTTTACACAACCAACTGCTGCTCCACCACCTTCAAGACCGCCTCCTCCCCGACCAGTACATATCCCCAAGTCAGGAACAGCTTCATCTGCTTTTGCCAATGCCAGAAAGAAGGATAATGAATTTTCTTCTTTCCCAAGTTCTACTCGATTTTCTCAGGGTCCTAAATCTGCTCCTGCAGCAGCCAAGTTATCTCCTGCAACTCAGTTTGATGAACTAGAAGATTTCGCTATGGGAAGGAGTCGTGGCAATGATGATGAACATGGAAGTGGTCTTCTTGACGAAGAATTAGAGATGAACTCAGCTGCTGCAGCTATGAAGGAGGCTATGGATAGAGCTGAAGCTAAATTTAGGCAGGCAAAGGAAGTTAGGGAGAGAGAAAGTACAAAAGCTGCTAGAAGCAAAGAACCTGTGCAATTGGAAAAAGATGACATAGCTGTGCCAGAGGAGAGAGAAAAACAGGAAAGGTTAGACCATGAGCGGCAGCAAAAGGAGTGGGAGGAAAAGGAGCAAAGAAGACTTGAGAGGGAAAGGGAGGAGAAAGAAAGAGAGCGACAGAGACTTGAGAGGGAAAGAGAAAGGGCAAGACAGGCAGTAGAAAGAGCTACTAGAGAAGCACGTGAAAGAGCAGCTGCTGAAGCTCGACAAAGAGCTGAGAGGGCTGCTGTTGGGAAAGCTAATGCTGAAGCTAGAGAACGTGCTGAGAGAGCTGCAGTTCAGAGGGCACAAGCTGAAGCCCGTGAAAGGGCTGCTGCTGAGGCAAAGGAAAGGGCTGAAAAGGCTGCTGCAGAGGCAAAGGAGAGGGAAGCGCGGGAAAAAACTGCAGCTGCAAAAGCTGAAGCTGAAGTGCGAGTTAAGGCAGAACGTGCTGCTGTAGAAAGGGCTGCCGCAGAGGCCCGAGAAAGAGCAGCTGCGGAGGCTCGAGAAAGGGCTGCCGCCGCTGCAAGGATGAACCAACAAAAGAATGAAAATGATCTTGAATCATTCTTCAGCATGGGTGCACGAGCCAACAGTGCTCCAAGGCCTCCTAGGCCTAGCTCTTCAGTAAGTACCTATTAGTGTCAAAAATTATTTATACTAATATATAGTGGCCAATGCTTGGCTTTGGTGTTGGTCTCTTTCCATCATGCGCCATTTATCCTAAAACTAGGAAGTTATATTTAGTGGGTTGTTATTTTAGTCCTTCCCCAAGTATTATAAATAAAAAAGTATAAATAATTGACAAGGGGGTATATGTAGTTATTTAAAGTTTAAAAATTATTTTCATGTTTCAAATAAAAACAAAAGATGGATTGACATGCACGTTAACTCTAGTATTGTACTATTGCAAATTCTTTTTACTAATTTCCTGGACCTCTTTGCTTTCAGGACTCTGTATTTGATGCCCAATTTCAGCCAGATGCAACCCGGAAATCTACGGGTGTATCTTCAAACATTAAGAAAGCATCATCATCCACTAATATTGTTGATGATCTTTCCTCAATTTTTGGAGGTAGGGTTGCGGTTTGCAACATATTCATTATTGATGCACAAGTTGTCTGAATGTTTTGGTCTCAATGTGTAAAGCACTAATTCAACCCCAAAGCTTAATCTATTAGGTGAAGGCCAAATTAATAATTTTATATTATATTTCTCTTACTCGTCACCTTACACGAGCCCATTGGGTTTGAAAGGTGGATAATGCGTTAAGAAATTCCACAACATTCAATCGTTTAGGAATATAATGTGGGGCTTTGAGGATCGAACTTGTGACCACTTGGTCATAGAAGCTTGATATCATATTAAGAACCAATTCAACTCAAAAGCTTAAGTCGTTGTACACATTAATCGTTTGAATTTTTTGGTTCCAATGCTTACTTGCTCCTTTTGTCCATTCTCTTTTATGGTTTGAAGCTGCTCCATCATCTGGAGAATTTCAAGAAGTTGAAGGGGAAAGTGAAGAAAGACGAAGAGCTAGGTTGGAACGCCAACAGAGGGCTCATGAGCGTGCGGTATGTCTTACTGAATTTTGCTCCTTAACTTGATTTCTTCATTGTTTCTTAATGGAAAGAATAGATGAACAATGTACTCTTTTTGAATCAACTTGACATTGAATTTATGTGTAAGTATGTGCATTCTCAAAAAAATCTTTTTGAATTGGTTGTCTATGCTAATAATGATCATTATCCTTTTATACTAGGCAAAAGCATTGGCTGAGAAGAATCAACGAGACCTACAAACTCAAAGAGAGCAAGCTGAGAGACATGTAAGTAATTTCTTTTGTTGTTTTCCTTTTTATTTGGGCTTGGGTTTTTTTTTGCTCATACACTTGCATTGCACCCGTTGCATGTACACTATATATATCATGTTCATCCCAGTTAGCTCAGTAGATGCACAAAGGTCAGGTTATTGTTCAACTTACTGATTTTCTATTAAATTTTGGTAGGCCTCAGGTTTTTTTATTTTATTTTAAAATTACCATATACCTATACCTCTGTTATTCTCTCTCAAAAAACTGTTTTGTGAGTTGGGGAGGTTGAGATGGGATGAAAACAGGGCCTTACAATCCACACTTTTGCTTACGTTTTATATATTTAATGATGAAGGGATTCTTTTTATGATGGATGATGGTGGTTAGTTGGATTTTACTTCTCAGCTCTCTGTTAATTTGCTGAGTTTTTAATTTTATTATCTATTTTTTTCTATACATTGATTTCAGAGGCTTGGTGAAACACTGGATTTTGAAATTAAGCGCTGGTCTGCAGGAAAAGAGGGGAACTTGCGTGCTTTACTCTCCACCTTACAATATGTATGTGCTTTGTATAACCTCACTGAATTTTCTCCATATAATGCCCAGAAGTTTGTTGGTTTATGCTCTCTTCTTTCTTTTTTTATTTTGTCCAATGCTTGGGCCCAAATTTCAAGATATTGCATGCTGGATTTGTTTTGGATAATCTGTCGTGTGTCTCATCTGATCATCAGTCTACCTCCTAGGGCTAGAAGTGCATTGGGCGTGCTAACACTATATTGCCAAACTGATTTTATTTGTTTCATATGCTCTGATTATTACGGTTTCACCCAGTATTTCAATTTCCTCCATTAAATATTCATATTAGCTTTTTTCATCAGATATTTACTAACATAATACACATCTTTAGGGGGAAAAAAACCTGATTTTGCATAACATTTTAACGAAGTGCTTGTTATCAATATCGATTAGTCAATCCTGGTGAAACTAGAGTAAAAGCTACTTGCTTCCATTAATAAACTCTAAAAAGTTCCTGCATGTAAATCTTGAAGCAGCAAAACAGTCCCTTAATTTGTAGTGTTTTCTAGGTGACATTCTTTTTCTTCTATAATTTGTGTCTATCATGTTAACTTGTTTCCTTCATGAATGATGATCAGGTGTTGTGGCCTGAATGTGGTTGGCAGCCGGTTTCGTTGACTGATTTGATTACAGGCGCAGCTGTTAAAAAGGCTTACAGGAAAGCTACATTGTGCATTCATCCTGATAAAGTGCAACAGAAGGGTGCCACTCTTCAGCAGAAATACATTGCAGAGAAGGTGTTTGATCTACTCAAGGTATTTTGGCCTTTTTGTATTATTTCTACATGCTCTCTAATCAATGCTTCATAAAGAAAATAGTTGCCATTGACAAATAAAGATTAGGCTAACATTGTTTTGAACTTGAAGCGGCTTCTAAATGTGGGTTTCCATGTAACATTCTATGGCCAAATGATGTGCATGTAAGGGCAAGAATTGCAATATCTATATTATTTCATATAAGTAGCTTCCTCGTGAATAAATAATAAGTGGCTGGGTGTGGTTTTCTATAATGTGCTGCCTCTGCAGCTTATCAGTTTCTTATCCAGTTGTATCCACCTCACAATAAATCTGTTTGGTTTCATGATTTTGCTTTTTCTTTGTTCCTTGCTAACCTTGATTCATAACCTTGGGATGTTTTCCTGCTGGTGAGTGTCCACATGTTTCCTCGTCACCATCAATCTTTTTTCAGCCTAAAATAGTAGTTGTATTGAATGGGCATTATATCTTGTCATATAAGATGGGGCGTTTATTGTGAAGCAATAATTGAGTCAGTTAATTTTGTATCTTGGTCACTTGGGGTATTTTCTGTCCTTTCTGTTTAGAAAAGCTAAATTGGATAAAATATAAAATATGATATAATTAAAATTTTGATTTTAATGAACTGCAGTTAACTATGGTGAAATTTTTGTCTCTGTCCACAAATATATTATAACTTCCATTGTAGTTGTATATTGCAACTCAACATTTGAGTTAAGATTTTGGATTATTTGTGTATCCGATGCACCATTCTGTTTGTGCACTAACCAACAGGAGTTACAGTTGATTTGATATCGTCAAACTTGAGCAGCAGTATGTGTCAAGCTACTGTTTGTTCCTGTTGGTCTGGTGAACAGTGTTTTACATCATGTTGCACGCTATGTGATGTCTTCTCCATACATGGCTTTGAAGTAACGTGTAAATGCCAATTAACTACATGATACAAATATTGGGAGATCCTCACCCTAAAAGCTAGTTCAAGAAGTAGGAGAGCCCAAAGTCCATATAAACTCCACATTAGTCACCCATATAACCAATGTGGAACTCCAAGTCCCACCATACCTTAGAATAGGATCCTAACACTGTACTAATATATATGTCTCAAGTTGGGTTTGGTCTCATAGTGTCTCTAACATAAAAAATATCAATAAAAATAAAATTTGTGTTAGTCGTGATAGTCATTTGCAGTTTCATACTTCTATAGTTCTTCTCAATCTTTTAAATAAAACTAAGCTCAAAAGTTGATTGACTCACGTGCATGTCAATTTATATTGCTATGTCCAGAATACTACAATGCCTTTATTTTTTCCTAAAAAGTTTGATAATTTATATAACAGGAAGCATGGAATAAGTTCAATTCAGAGGAGCTTTTCTAATCTCTGATGAACTTAGCTTCTTCAAGGTAGTTTGCTCCACCCATTCTGTTGAGATGAAGGGGACCCCGCGACCCTGTTTCGGCTGCTCCCCCACTGCATATTTGTTTTGATTCAAAGTTATATTGCATCAATGGTAAAAAAAAATTGATTTCCTTTTGTGGCGTTAGGATGCCCAAAGTTTACACCGGCGAGCAATCTTTGATGTGATTGATGTTATTCCAGGGGGTGGTTGGGTTCTATACAAATGCTTATGAATGTAGCATGTTTTGTTGTAAAATATCTTTGTGGGCATCTCTGTCAATTTAATTCATTATTTCTGTCGAGTGTAAGAGGTCATGGGCGGTCTTTTTTTTTTTTTTGGTTTTGTTTATTGTTTTTTCAATTTTATTACTTGTGATATAGTATAATCCCCTGAATGTATATCACACCATCTTGTGAATTGACAGATGAAATTTTTCCATGGACCTACTTCGCACAAGCGTCTGCATGTTGTAATACCATATTTGGTTTCTAATTAGAATCCCAAAACCATGGATTGGGTAAACGATGGAAAGTGACAAGCTTTTGCTCAAATTATAATTCAGGGCTTTTCAATTTTGAAACTAAACGTACTAAATCTAAAATTATTTGTTATCAAAGGTTTTCACTCGACCATGGTCACTAGTGTCTATGTTGCTGTGACAAAGTTTGAAGTCTACGACTGAATCTAGTTATGGAAAAGTATCAAGACACTTCTCATTTGTTGTGTTTAGCTTTGTATTCAGTTGGTTGACAATATTTGGATGTGGTAGGGATGGGGATGGGGATTGAAAAGTGACTCAAACTTTTGTTTAATAGATTTTTCAGAAGGAAAATGGAAGGAAGAGAGATATGAGTAGTTCCATCAAGGCCCCAAAATCGGCCCTCCGGAATGGGGAATAAGTAAATTTTTATTTAATTGCAAGTAAACTTGAAGATTGTAATAAGGATAATATAGGAATAGCATTATTCAAAAGATAATGCTGCTCAATCCATAACTATCACCGCCCCAAGCAGTTTGTTCCCACGAGGCATAAGATGTTGGATGGGGTTTAATAGTTCCAGTTGAATGGTTTGTATTTCTTTTGGTCAAGCACGATACTGGCCTCTGAGCCAGCACCAGCCGCAACTGATACTATGAGGCAGACAACAGTAAACACTTGCAGACAAATCCATCTTACACCCCATTTTGGGATACTCTTCTGTTTAATATACATCTCCACCGGAAGGTAGACAGTCAAAGGCCAAAGCCACAATGCTCCAAGCAATCCCAAAACGTCATTGAAAAATGGAACCACCATTGCTATAACAGTGGTTCTGATAACAAAAACTGTTCTCCAAACTATTCTAAATGGGCTTAGATTGTAAGGAGGAAAACCAGGAATTGGAATCTTGTATTCCGCGTCAACTTTGGGCCATCTTTTTGTTGCCCAATTCTCGAAGAGGGCGAAGAGAGGTTGGGCATACACTTGGTATGCACCCACAAGGTGAATTACGATAGCAGCATTAGCAATATCAATAAACCAATATGGGTTATAAAAACCAAATCCAGACTTAGCAGATTCCCAGGTGCTGTGTCTCCAAAAGGAGAAGAGTTTTGGTGCTTCCGAAGCACATCAACTCAGTAGCCAGGATCAATCGAAATCAAACTATGATTGAGGAAAGAGAAAAATTATTATTTTTATCTAAATGTCAGTCCCTTAATGAAAAGAGCACATATTCCTGGAGCACTAAAATGCTGTCGTTACTCCAATACTTATCTTTGCAGCCTTCTTCATTGTTTTTGTTTCATATGGTGGAGATTTTATTGTGTCCTGTGTAGTCACAGTATTATATATTAAGGGATAAGTGTGTGTCATTATAAATGGTATAAGTTATGTTATTTTATAAATATAATGAGGTGTGACCTACATCTTTATTTTTTTAATGGGACTCACACTTCTTTGTGTCTATGAAATGACACAACTTGTATCATTTAAAATGATACACTTTTCCTATATATTAAATAGTTTCACTGACAAAATTTTCTTTTGTTTTTTTGTTATTTTTAAAATAGGAAAAAAATGGTGGACCTGAATTTCAACGAGAACAAAACAATATGAATAGGCGAAAGTCCCCCGTACTTTTTGGGCTTTTGTCACATTTTTTATGATTACTCCAGTGAGGCTACCCTTGAAAGTACTTGTTTCTGTTCCAGAGCCAATTAAACAAAAAATATTAGCCGAGGTTTTTTTTTAATTTTATCAAACAAATTAAAAAATGGAATAAAAGGAACTTTGATCACTGTGCCACGATTCCCAATACAATTTACCTGATGCCACAAGGCTAATTTTTTTTTGCCAAACTACCACAACTCAAAATGTGCTGGCAGTTGTAGCGGGTATGGTTTACCATGTGGCATATTTCTTGAGGCCACCAAACTTGCTGCTAGTTGCAGCAACTTTCGTGGTTAAAGTGCTCGGTCTCTTTTCTACAACAGGGACATGTGGCAAACAGACATAAACTCGTTGTCAGTTGCATCAAGTATAGTTTGACGTGTCAGAAAAGAACTTGCTGCCACTTACATCGAGTCTGCCACGTCTAAGAAACTGCCATTAGACAGAGCGAGTTTAGTGCTATATAAACCTCCTCCCACTTCCCCCCATCATACATCTTCGAGTTCAGTAAAACAATTCCTCTCATTTCTCTCGATTTGAAACATCCCCCTGTTTTTGTACTTGTTATTTCTTCCTCCCATTTTTTTTTTGTTTTAATTTTTACAAAATGAGTGACAACAATGATTCAGTAATTGCCATCGTGTACTACACTGGGAGGAGATATTTTCGTCCTAATGGTCAGGTTTTTGAAGGATATACAAAAATGTTCCTCATGAGCCCCCAATGTAGTTATAATGATATGAAGAAGACAATATACAAGAAGTTGAGATCACAAATCTCTATCTCGATTGATTGCTAGACGTGTCTTGGGTAAAGAAAGTTGGGTTCCCGTGGAGATTGTTGAGGATGAAGATGTCGTGTTAGTAGTAAATGGATTTCAAAATGATTGAGACTCCACATTTATTGAACTGTATGCGGAAGTAGATTCCGGTGGATAATCTAGCAGTCATCATTCCCTCCCTTCAATTCACTCCATTGAATTAACAGGGAGCCGCATTTTGATCCTAAAGATAGGTATGTGTTACCCCTACCACTCCCACCCTTACCAATGTGAATCGAAATGGTCCCTGCCCAAGATGAGTATGAATCGATGTGGCGCAGATCCGAGGAAGAGAATGACGAATGTGTTGTTCCGGAGACTTATCAGACACCAACATCGAGGGTGATTTCGATTTATGTCTGTCTACCACAATGTGTCATTCGATTCCTTCACCGAGCATTGTTGGAATGCATGACCCGCCAATAACAGGTTAGTAACTGTAATTAATGAAATTTTTCTAAACATAATTGTTGACTACATAGTTGATTTATTACTACACAGGTGTGCTTATACGAGTCGTTATTTGCATATTAATTTGGCACACTCAAATCAGGAGTTGCATGCAATGGAGGGAATGCAAGTACCAAATTGGCAGATGAGTCAGGAGTTGTATAAGGATTAGGTCTTTGAGTTCAAGAACGATGTGCGGATAACAATGAAGTAATTTTGTATGACGGACTATCATACAACCGTTGTAGCAAAAAGTGATATCACAAGATTGATCATAGTATGTGAAAATCACAATGACAATTATCCGTGGAGGGTGAAGGCACACATGAAAAAGGGCGGCACTAAATAGGTTATCGACAAATAGGTTAACGAACATACATGTGTTAACCAAACTCTTTCCGAATATCACAAGTAGCTGGACTCTAATTTTATTTGTTCAATGATCATAGGTTAGGATTGTGCGTATCTTGTTGGACCATCACAAAGTCAGAGAAAAGAAGGGACTACATGCCAGATCTTCTTCTCTATCACCTATTCTGAAAATGGCAGCCTCAACGATGGGAGCATGATGGCTCATGGGGCTTAACCCCAGCATAAATAGGCTAGAGAAGGGAACTAGCCAAATACCCTAAAAAGAGTTTTGTGTCCATTGCCATCACAGAAAACCAATGTCACACTAAAACCTACATTGATGCCTAACTAGACCCAATACCAATAGATGCCATAAGCCTAACTCAATATGATAATAGTCAAAATAATATAATTGAAATATTCATTAACCCGATTAATTTTAAAACACAAAACTAATTAATTAATATTGCCCACATAAAGGAAATTTTCTAACATTTATGAGATTTTTTTTACTTTGAACAAGGAGAGATTGCTCCATTGTTGTTTGAACGAATTAGACTGCTATGAATAATTCTTGACTGTATTGAGAGAGCTTATAGGTGATAGGTTGAGAGTGGTCAAATGTGTTGATCATAGACTTGTAAAAACTCTTCGTAAAATAATTTTCTGGCACCGGTTGGAAACTAGAACATAGTGGAATCAACGACATCAGTCTGGACGTAGCTCTCAAGTGGTTAGAGAATGAACTAGGATAAATATTGGTGTGATTCTTCCTTTCTTTTCATCTTTTTTAATATCGGTATAATCTCTGTTATTGGACGACATTTGGTATGTATTAATTTAGTTTTTATATAAGGGAAGATTTAAATTCTGTTCTATTTCGTTTTGGTTGATTTTCTTGATCAAAGGTTTGATTTTCATTGATTTCTTGCGAAATGAGTTACTGCACAATTCACCCCCCTCTTGTGCTTTTGTATTAGTTATCTTTTCTTTACAATCTGGACCTCATTTTTGCGAGATATAAAGCCCAATCAAAGGCAAGCCCAATGAGCCCAAAAGACCATTTCTTAGTATAGGAAGAAAATGCATTAATCTCGCGTAATGTTAGTATCTCGCAACTTCCTGACACATGTAACTAGCGGCTCAGGCAAAAGGATCATGTAACATCAACTGCTTAAATTAACTTGACCTTTACATGAACCAATAACTAAAAGACAGCACTTGCACACCACAACATCTATAAGGGCTCTTAGCCTGACTGTAAGCACCTTGCCCACATCATAGCCTATGAAAGCTATCATTCTCCTCCAATAGGAATGAATACTGTCATATTAAGGCAGCAAAAGGAAGGAACCCCTCTACTATAATTACAGAAGTATTAAGCCCAGGTATAATCATCTTTCCATAAATACTTGAATTAGGGATGGCAAAACGGGCCAACTCGGCTTGACCCAGCCTAACCTGTTTGTAACCCAAAAAAAATGAGTCGGGTTAGGGTTGACTCGAAAAAAAATGAGTCAGAAAACCCAACCTGAGCCGAGTTAGGGTTGGCTCAAAAAATTGGGGATAAAAATAGTTTTTGTCACACTGCGTATTTAGAAGAGGTAAGAGGAGCATAGAGAAACACAAACACAAAAAATAGTGCAAATCTTCATAGATAATGCAGTGAAACTAATAAAGTAATGCATAACCTTACAATAAATAAAGCCACATTGTTTTAAAGTAATGAACAATGTTTATAATTTGAGGGGATATTTAAAAATAAAAATAAAATAAATAAAAAAGAAACTTGGGTAAAAGGATAGAACCATCATGCAATGGAAGTATGGAATCGAGACATTGATACTAGAATAACCATCACGTCGGAACAATGCTCGGCCGGCGGCGATGGCAGCTGCGATCACGGTGGTGAAATGGGAAAGGCAACAGCGAAGTGCAGCGATGACAATGTATGCGTTTGGGATTTAGCCTTTAGGTTTCTACTTTTTTTGAACAAATCTGGCTCCCTTATTATTATTTTGTATTTTTTAATAAATAAAAAAGATAACGTGTGAACTAACTTGTTTTACCTGAGGGTTGGCTTGGTTTTTTTCGAGCTGGCACGAGTTGTTAACTCATTTTTGCCAACCCAACCCGACTCATTTTATGCGGATTACGGGTTGGCTCATTTTTTCCATCCCTAACTTAAATACATTGAACTTATATTGACTTTAGCGTCGGAGTGCCTTCCAGGTATCCCCATCTCCTCAGATGATCTCAAAGACACAAACCCCAGTTCAACCATCTCGCGACATATCTCACCAATAATCAAAGCATCTTGCAAAGGAATATTCAGGCTAGATACTTACCAAATAATTATTGGGCTAATAAGGTTACATTCTAAATATACTTTGTTTATAAATAAATGAGTAAATACCCTTTTAGTCCCTGATGAACTTCACGAAGCCCCTTTTGGTCCCCAACAATAAAAAAGGCTCTTTTGGTTCCTTAATTTTGGAAAAAAAAGTGCCACGTTTGTCCTTCTGTTACTTGGCATCCAATGGCCAAACTAACGGAGCACACGTGGAACATTAGTTTCCTGAGTCACTGTTGGGTGTGAACTTGTTGGTTGCTTAAAATATTATGATGGAGGACGTTCCTTTACTTTATTCATTAAGAGAAAACACATTCATTCTCTTAACTTCAACCCAAGTGCGCAAGTTCACGCATCAAGTAATAAGTGGGACTATTAGTGCCCAGATTATCGTTCCCACGAGGATAGTATTCTAATTAATGCCTTAAACTATTTTACAAAGAATGAAAATGAAAAGAAAAGTTAGTAATTGACCTGTTTGGTCAAACATTCCCTACTATCTTGACAATGTTCCTAAAAAACAGTAGGTTCGATCTGACAGCAAACAGCTCATCGCGTCGTTATATATGAAATCCTTCTTGATGAGAGAAGGAACGACAATATTCATTGGAGATTTATAGATACAAGATTGAATAAAGCAAGAGTAATAATAGAAATAATATATTTAAGAGAAAACAATATGGAGGGTTTAAAACAGTTTTAACTTTTAACACAAGGAACGAATCCACTGTTCCATTCTTAAATAGTTATAATATCCACTCAGGACTTAAGCATTCTGCATTTGATCAGGTCTTTTCACTGCCAACTCTGATTCCTCAGCTCATGGACTAAATGGCTCACAAGTTTTCATATTCCTATGGCTCCCTTGACTCCAACAGTTACTTAGCACATAACTTTTAATGAACGAGGTGGTCCCTTATTCCTAAGACAACCAGCAATGTTGTTTCCACAACACTACCTTCTCCCTCTAGTTAAGTTGTCTGAAATCCCTTCCTTATGGAAGTTCCTTTCTCAGTATGCGTTCAATTTCCATTCATACACAATGAATATAGCTTACTTAACCAGAAAAATACAAAAGCTTTAGTACAAGAGTTTTAAAAATAGTTCTTTAAGAACTTCACAGTTTTTCCGTTCTACAGATAGCTTAGCCCATGGCTACTACTTCAAACATAATTATTCCAAACTAAAATCCCATAGACCCGAGATTCAGTTCAGAGATAACGAGTGGAAAAGAAGAGAAATAACACATATATTTAACTGGAAACAGATTAGGTTACAATAAAATAAAAAGTGGAGAAGTATGGTTGCTGCTCGTAAGGAGTCTCAAGTGGGTGATACATAATAGAGAAGAAGTTATTGTCACTTAACTAATGCTAAAACTATACAACTGAAATGTAAAAACTACAAAATAAACCAATTGATCTCTTCTTAAGGAATTTGATGATCTTCTTCGTGCTGGAACGTCCTATTTATAGGCATAAGAGTGAATGGAAAAGCTTGTAATTTCCCTGGAGTTGTTTTCTTGACTGCATGAAAGGGGCGGTGTGAACAGTGCTCCGAGGGCTGCAAGTTGCTGGATGGGACACTTATTGTTGAGATTTGTCATTTCTTCTGCAGTCCTCCATGCCTTGCTTTCCACTTATCCAATGAGAACTCTTTATTTCCTGCTGTACACATTTCTTCGTGCTTGATTGTTGTACCCCTTATGCTTTATGGAAAACGTTTCTTGCAGAGTGGTCAGAGACATTGAGTTAGTGGAGCAGGTGTATTTAATGTTCTCAATCCGTTCCCCTTTTTCTATATTTTCCAAAGGATTACGTCATCATCCGTTCCCCACTGTGTTTTTGTCATAAAGATATAAAACATGTGTTTTTAATGCTGAAATTGCTCATCGGGTGAGGGAACAAATAGTATTTTGCCATCAAAATGGGCTTAGATGGGAACGAATTTTCGTCCTATCAGTCACTAACGTCACAAGCCACGTTGGATGAACAAATGATGTCGTTGTGTATATGCGAAGGTTAGCTGCTGTAATTAGAAGCGGACGACATCGTTTCTGTAGAGGAGACATCTTCCACCTTGGTCTTAACTTAGGTGACATACTCAGACAACAACAAGTAACTTCTCCATACCCCTCATTTCCTTTGCTCGTGAGCTACATTTTCGATGAAGGTTGTGAGGAACGGTGGTTTGTGGGTCAACATCTCCTCTGCAGTTGCAAGGATTTGGAAGTAGTGTGGTTATTTGGTCAACATCAGAAAAACAATTGTGAGCGTGGTCATATTTGAACAAGGTACGTGGAACAAGTCATTTCTTTATTATCTGTGATTCCCCTTGTGAATGGGCCATTGTTTTTTGTTTAATGTGGTCCCCCATGTGCGGTACCTGGTAAAGATATTGTTAGGGTTTTACTTTGTAAGAAACTTGTTACATGTGGTCCCCTTTTCGTGTTTTATATTTGCTATGTGTAGTGTTTTGTGGACCCGAGTTTTTAGCAATCGACTTCTTGACCATTTCAAAAATCTTTATGTGGTTGTCCTTGACTGTTACAGTATTATTGTAATATTGATATATGGATGCAGGATTTGATACCAGCTTTGCAGGAGGTGTGCCTGGTGCACATCACAGGTTTTGTGTGCAGCATGTCTGGAAGAATTTCATTAAGCAGTGGAAGGACAAGGCCATTAGGGAAATAGTTTGGGAATGTACAAGATGCACTACTGTACCTCAATTCCCAAGGGCTATGCATAAATTGAAAGATTTGAATGAAGATGTTTGGGCATATCTACACAAGATTGACCTGTCATGCTGGGTCAAAGCCTATTTTAGTCACTGGCCCAAGGGTGACAACATTTCAAACAACATGGCAGAGGTTTGGAATGCGAAAATTGTAGGATATAGGTCCAAGCCCATAATCAGTCTATATGAAGAACTTAGGTGTTACATCATAAGGAGGATGGCAGCACATCAAAGAATTCTTGGAATAGTTAGGGGTAAAATTGCCCCTGCACAACAGAAGAAGCTTGATCAATTGAAGGTCCTAAGCAATTCCTGGACCCCTACATGGACAAGGAATTTGAATCAAGACATATATGAAGTTAGTGGAAAGGGTGAAAGGGTTAGAGTAAATTTAACATATAAGACATGTGCATGCAATCTGTGGCAGCTGACTGGATTTCCATGTGAGCATGCAATTGCTGCAATATGCCACAAGAATGAACCAGCAGAGTTGTATGTGCATCAATGGCTAACAGTGGATGCTTTGCATGCCACTTATGCACACACCTTGAACCCTGTCAATTCTGCTAAGTATTGGCCTACCTTAACAAAGCCTAAATCTATTCCTCCACCATTGAAAAGGCCAATTGGCCGTCCCAAGAAACATAGGAAAAAGGATCCAAGTTAGGAACATGGAAGCAATACCAAAAGAGTGAAAAAGACATATGCTACTAAACGTGGACAGGCTGGTCACTATGCAAAGACTTGTAAGGGACCAGCAGCAAGCAAGAAAGGGAAGAGACCAGCAGCTCCTTCAACTCCAATTACTGTAAACATTCCATCAAGACCTGAAGAGGAGCTCCCTCTCAGTCAAGGAGGACCTGCACTACCAAGTTCTCAGACAGCTGAAGAATCAATTAAAGGCAACAGGCCACCACCTTCTGCCCCACCACCACCTGAAGTTTTGTCCAGTGAAACTCTCAATGCAACAAGCAGTGGCACAAGGACCAGGCTAATGGCCTTCATGACCACACCTGGGTTTAAGCCACCAAGGCCAGCTTGAAGGGCATGATCAGTTGTAGGTTCAGTGTTTTTTGTATAGGCAACACTGGTATCTTTGGCCATTTTTTTGTATTGTTGGCCATTATGAATTGTACCCCCACATTTTTTTGTATTTAAGGTCATTAGGTGAATTACATGCTGCTTTGTATTACAATTGACAGGCCCTGTTTTTGTTTTGGGTCTGTAATCATGACTTAGTCATGTGGATACTGTTTGACAGTTGGGTTTTGAATTGTAAATGGTTACATTAATCCTGATTTATCAACCTTGGTCAATTGCTTTATTTCCCATTGTTTATACTCAAATTATCTTTGATACTAACAACTAATATTTGAAAGAGTTTAGCCTCTTAGATGGATACATTTGTGGTTGGTGGTTTGTGATACAATGATTTCATGATTTACAAATCCAACTTATGATATAGGTCCAACTTCTGGTTGCTGGAAATATGATTGCCTTGCAACTTCTGTTTTCATGTCCATTTTTTTAGTGCTAAGGACCAAATAAGGCCTCGATGAATTTGTCAAGGACCATAATGGGATTCGTGTAATTTGTTAGGGACCAAAACGAGTCCACACAATCCTATTTTGAAACAAATATAACTGCATTCCAACTTCTGATTTGCAGATTGATTGACTTAACATAAAAAGGTATGGTATGTGGTTTGTGACACAATGCTTCTAGCAGATACGTTCATTCCAGCCTAATTATGTAGATAAATAACAAAATGGTTATAATCCATCATGGCATTGGATTCATAATAGGACTAAAACATATGATGCAAACAGATGGCAAGGAATAATCCATGACCTTGTTCATGGCATTTACATATAGTGTAAGCTTGACCACAGAAATGAGTCTACACAAAAACACATTTTCGAACCAATACAGAATAAGCCATATAATAAAAGCATCTTGATTCATTTGCTCATTAAAGTACAGAGAACTCATTACACTTCATTCAAGAAAAAATACATTTGGTACACTAGTTTTGATTGTTACCACACTTGCAACAAAAATACAAATCATGATCACACCTACACAAGCACCAACTATGACCCTAGCTGACCTACCAACATGGCTAATTTCATTGTACATCCTATCTAACTCTGAAACCATCTTCAGGTATAGCTCATTCAGCTTTTATTCCTGGTCATTAATCTTCAGTTCTTGCTCAATAATCTTCACACATTGGTCTTTCAGCTTAACTTGCAATTTCTCACTCATCAGCATGTCCACATACTTCAACTTGAAATCCATTTCAGCAACATCCAACTCCACCTTGTGTATTCTTCCATCTTCAAGCTCCAGCCTTTCATTACATACGGCATCTACCCATCTAAGAAAATCACAAAACGACTTCTTCTCCTGCCAAAATTATAAACCACGGTGAGCAAATATTTCAACTTAAATAAATTCAAATTACACATGTATACCATGAAATTAGGGCACCCAAAGAATGCCCTATTTGGGTTCAACTCTTTTTTTGGAGGTATAGAAGATAACTTGCCTCCCATATTTGCACCTTCGATCGACAGTCCTTGTCGTTGTTCTACCCCCTATTGAAGTACTCCCATTTGAGCCCCCATGTCAGATGAAAGACTCATCTTCTCCAACTCCCCAGCAAATCCAGTAAATAATTTCTACTCTCCTCAATTTTCAGTCATCAACGTGCGGAGCTTATGGGGATTTTTTTTGTTTATTGTTGATTTAGGGTTCTCAAATTGACAAGGTTGTGTGGGTCAGTTACCCTTCGATGCTAGGGTCAGGTGTCCAAAACTCCAAGAAGACATAAGGCATGTTCAAAACGTCGTCGTATTACTTCCACGCTGGACTACTTAATTCTGAGTCAGGAAACTAACGTCCCACGTGTGCACCGTTAGTTGGGCCGTTGGATGCCAACTAACAGAAGGACAAACGTGGCACTTTGTTTTCAAATGCAAGGACCTAACAAAGCCTTTTGTATTGTTGTGGACCAATATGGGCTTCGTGAAAATTGTCAGGGACGAAAAAAGGTATTTACTCTAAATACATTTAATTTCTTATTTACGATTTCAAAGATATTTTTTAAATCAAAACTCAAATCATGATAATGGAAGGCACAATTGTCTATCTGATTACAAAGCCATAAAGATTTGAGTATTGAACCGACACACAAAATGTAGCATTGTACTCGCTTGCAAAATATATCAAATGCATGTATGCTGCATAATATTAAGGGCAATGAACTTAGATTCCCACACTGGGTCTTTTTTTTTAATATGTGAGCCCCACATGTTTTTCTCTCTCAATGGCATAAGACAATACTTCTCCTGTATTAGGAGAAGTATAAAACCCTAACATTAATGCATTCCATTTCAAACAAAATGTTTGAATGGACGGTGCAACACATGGTTATATTTTCAAACAGAAATCGTTTTATCAGTAAAGTGGAAAATCCACATCATTCTTACTTGAATTCCAAAAAATATTTAGTGGAATAATGTGCTACTCATATATTAAATGTATATATACTTTACCTAGAATGGTGTGAACTGTGTCTATGAAAGTACAATTTCTCTTCTCGATTTGGGTCACCAATACAGTAACAATCAACTAGAAGCGATGAAGTATACAAAGTGATGACTGATATGCATTCAGCATATAGAGAAATCTAAGCCAAAAAGAGAAAGAATGTTGATTAATCTTAAGCAAAAAGGGCAAATATGACTGATAATCTGTTAAAATCTCAATCAGAGATTGCATATTGATTTTGTGTTGATTTCGTAGGAAAAACAGACAAACTGGAGCTAAAAAAGAAATTGCTAAACTGAAGGCCCACGCTGAGAGCGTGGGTATGACGCTGTAAGCGTGAGAAGACAATTTCAGACAGAGGCATCAACGCTACTAGCGTGGGACTCACGCTAGTAGCGCCAGATATCAAAAACAGGCAGAAGCTACCACGCTACTAGCGTGGCACTGACGCTAGTAGCGCCAGACATTTCACAAACCCACGCTAGTTGCGTGGTGCTCCAGGACTATGAAGAAAATCTCCCACGCTCACAGCGTGGGAACCACGCTAGTGGAGTGGGAGGTGCAGACATTCAGCTTCAAATCCTTTTGATATCAAAGACAGATTGCACTAAGATTGCGACAAAGATTAGATCAAGATTCTACACAAGGTCAAAGACTCTATAAATAGAGACTCAGACCTCAAGAGAAATAATAACTTTTGCACAGAGAGGAAGACGGAGGCAGAATGCAGAGCAAGCTTCTTCTCCAATTTTCTGGTTTTATTATTTTATTTTATGAATTCTTTTCAATTCTTTGAATTGTCAGACATGAATATGTCTGGCTAGTTTTTAATATTGTGGTAAGGGTCACAACCCTTGATGTGAACCCCTTGTAGTTTGGTTAAATTTATATTTAATTATTTCAATTGCATTTATTTTATCCTGTTCTTCATCTATAATTCTTTTAGAATTGATCACTTATTAGGATTGCGAGGGTTAGGGTTTTCAATAGGAATATTGGGATTCTAGTTCCTGACAAGGGTAAAATAACAATTCATGTACGCACTAGGGATAGGTACATGAACTGCAAACGTGAAAAATTCACTGGGTTAAAGGATTAACTTGAAAAAGGATTTCTAAGGGATTAGGATTCTAATAGGGTTAATAAAGTTAAGATCACTAAGGGATTAGGGCTTAACTAATTAATTAATAGATGGTGAATTGTTTGATCAATTGAGTAATTAAATGTAAACATTAATTAATATTACAAGGTAGGGATCGAAAAGGTATTGGCGTCCTTTACTGCAATAGCTTTTAAATATTTTTCATAATCTTAATCTTTTATTCTCAAGTTTTCAAAAATCATCTTCTGAATTGTTCATAAGTTTTGAATAGTTCACAATTTTCACAAGCACAATTACTCTCAAACCAACTTTTGTTCAATGACACTAACCAAGAGCATCACTACAGGACCAGACACCCAACTGATCTGAGCCATGGCCCAAGCTAAAGAGAGAACTCCACATCTTGCCACAGATGTTATTATGTACGAGCTTGTAGTCCAAATGATTCTTGCCTCATATTAATGCATTAAATATTGGAAAATATGTTTGTGACACAATTTTGTCTTATACACATACCAAAAATAGGTGAGATACATTTTTTTCTCTCTATTTCTTAGTGGGTCCTAACTATAATAATTTGAATAATTAAATTATATAAATAGAAATTATATAGTAATTAAAAAGGGTTAATTAGATGAAAAACTTAATTTTTAGTTAAGCCCTAATTTGGGGCAAAAGTGCAAATATCCAAAAGTTTCGGGTAAAAGTACAATTAAACAAAAGTTATGTAAGACTTAGAATTAGTTTTATGAAACCCATTTCATAAGAATAAGTTGAACTTTAATGTAATAGTTATTAGATTAAAAGATGATTGAATGATTAAAAATACAAGATTAAGATGGAAGAATGCATAGAATGGGTGTGGAATTGATTCCATGGGATCATGACCCTAAGACTTAATGACTAAGTCTTAGAATAAAAAAATATCTCAACATACCTTGTCTCCTTCTCTCCTTACGGTCTCTCCCCCTCTTTTTCATCTTCATGAAGCTTTTTATTCCTTCCATTTC